AACTATTGAAAAGAACTTTTATGAGAAACAGAATTCTGACAAAATTCTGCTGGGAAATGTTGAATTCTGCTTAGAATTCTGCTTTCGACCCAAGGTAGTGTGTGTACACAGTAAGACAGAATTCTGCAGGGGAAACAGAATTCTGTGTTGGTAGTGTGCAATGTGTGTTTAAGTCATATAGATATTATTCTTATAGACCCAAGTGAGCAAAAGACTGGTTAAATGACTAGTCTTTTTTCTAGTCAAGTCGACCCGTCCCGTCTAGTCTTTGTCTCAAAAACTACTCGTCCATTTCAGGTACAAGTACAAAAGCAAGTATACTTGTGCATAGGCAAGTACATATAGCAGTACTTGCTTCGAAGTATAAGTAAAAGTACAAACTTTCTTTTTCGAGTAAAAGTAAAATACTTTTACTTGCTATACTTGTACTTGTCCGAACTCTGATAGGAAGTTGTCGTATTGGTCCAATTCGTTGAGTTTTTAATCGGCGGATGAGTAGATTTTAACGTCTACTTAATTGTAATATACGGGTTAGTTCTTCGCGATGAGTACTTCCAGAAAAAATATAAAGAAAATAATCACATTTTTGCCATACGGCCAATAGATAACGTACAACTATAACACTATACGTTTTTGTTGATAGATTCAATGCAGTCATACTATACACTACATCGAATGGAACAGTAAATACAAGATGAACATTCATTTGTAGCAGCTGCGTTCGAGTTAATGGTTTTTCAGTTCGACGACCACGTATAGTAGTTGATTGACTTCCTGTACGAGCGACAGACTGTTGAGTATTACATATAGCTAGCAAACCAAATCTAATCATTAATATAAGTGCTGAAATATAATAAAGAAGAATTTCACTGGAAATATAAATATTGATTAATACATTTGAGTATTGTAGACATACATCGAATGTTTCTTCCCAATGAGAGATAGCCAACATTGGTAACATATAGATAATACCAAGTATTGTACTTGAATGACAATAATAACTCGTGCTTTTCGTATTACACTCCTTGAGCGAAGTCGATATAGATGGGAACTTGAACAATAGCGATCGTATGAAGCTAATACCAGTATCACTCGTGCTAAAAGTGGTGGTAAGAAAGAAATATATAAGTTCAATCGATATAAAACCGCGTAAAAATGGTACTGAACATATTAGAACAGTATAGATAATACTACTGTATATATAGCATAGGCAATAAAGTAGTGTGCACATGGTGATGAATGAAGAGTTCGCGAAGACAACACATATATATTAAGTGTATTTGCAGTAGTCGAAAGAACAAATTGTGCCGGTTGAATATAGATATTCATTCTGAGTGCTTTCTCGAGTAATTGACTCATGTCTAATTGAAATAAGTTGAAAATAAACAAACTTGATAATTAGCAATACCTACTTGTGTTCTCTTTGAGATCAGTTTACAAAAATAATTCTAATTAAATGTAGTTTCAATCTATGGATCATAGTCGAAGAGAAGTAGTTTTATTTTTTTAAACTAATGCTATATCCATTAGTGTACTGTTTGTATGTATCATTGAACATATGCTACTCAAATTTCATTCATGTGATAGTCATGAGAATTAATAATAAGTAGAGCAAGGATCAATGATGTCTGCGTAAATCCAGAGCGGTAATAGGTGTAATTTTAAAATTTTTGTATCACATTGATACAAAGTTTTGCTGGTCATGATAATATAGTAACATTTCTATCGTTACTAAGTAATTAATAACACAATATTCATTTTTTTCTTTGCAAGCATATAGTCACACATGTTATTTCTGTAATACTAAGAGAAATGAACAAAGCAAAATAACTTTGGTAGGTGAATGTAGAATTCAAATATGATTTAATACTATTTAACAATTCTGTAATAAGAGATATTATTGTCAATGTATTCAAACTATATTTTATGGAACTTCAATAGATTTTCCGATGGAATTGAAAACATTTTAATAGTCGAATGTTCCATTTGAAGTAGTCTTCGTAAATACAAATAAAATAGATACTTGATGAATAATACGCCCTCATATAATTGCGCATATTTTCGTTTTTATTATTTGAACTTTTCATTTATGCGTCGTTGAAAATGCTTTACGGCTAAGAAAAGCCTACGCAGATAGTGTAATTGTAAAAATCGATTCATAGAGGTTCGACACCTGCATTCTGCTTTTCAGATCGTGTGTCACTCTTTTCAACGATGGATAATCAATAACAAGAAACATATTTTCGTACCTGTCAAGTTATTTGTAATATGCTTAAAAAATATCAATTTATATACATATGAATAAATGTGAAATTCTCGTTATCCTGTTTTAAAAAATAATTAACATACGAGCTAATTTATTATCTTGAAAAGTACTTAAACTGCAAATTTGGGAACACAGCAATGATTTGAGTGAATATAAGTAATATTTGTTCGTCATTTTTCTTGAAATCGATAACAAGCGCTAATATTTGATTTTGAGTGGATGGGTTAAAAAACCTTACGTCTAAAAGAGATGTCAATAAGAATGATACGTAATAGATTTACATATAATTCTGATCGTTAAATCAAAGTATCTATTCTTTTTTTTCTTATAATAACTCTGTAATATAATTATATGTGTGATTTTCTTATCAATGTATCTTCACTCAACTATCGATTACCAAACATTTAAGCTGCTCCTACGGCTCATAATTTGAGAACAACTTGATACATGTTCAAACAACATAAATCATGTGCAAACGTATTGAGCTAATTATTAATACTTACTTCAATATTTCGATATCTAGATTTTTTCATCGATTTTCTGTGATTTAAAATCAACTAAAGTTCAGAAAAGGTTAAGTTCCGTTATTACAAAATACCGCTCGAGAAGAAATGCAAACATAAACCGCCCTCTTTTACAGGCTCGCGATTATTTTATTCGTTTCGGATTATCATCCAATATGTTACGTGGAGAAAAAGATATTTATTTATTTGTCTTTTTATCAGTTATACTTACTGTAAAAAACTTATTTCATGTTGAACAAATCGTCATTTTATCGTTGGAGATCTGTAATTGTTTTAGTCAAACGTTTGAGTGACTATTCCATCTGACGTTAATTTAGATGATTCACTTAAATTTATCAACGATAGAAAACAATATGAAGAAGCGCTTGAGTTGTTCGAGAAGTATACAGAAACAAATAATAATATATTTCCAGTTTTGTGATTGCTCAAGCTTTAAAAATATATGTACTTATAAAAGAGTAAATTTTAAAAAAATAATAAATATCTAGAATTCTAAAGTCTTCATTTTTATTTCGGGGTCAGACCTTTTACGAAATTAAAATATCTAGATAGCTGGTTTTCAATTATTCGTATCTCAGATCACATTAATGGCGGGATATTGTGTTGTTACCGAACTTCAGCCTAGCGAGAGGGATTTAATTGAAATTAAAAGGGGTTTGACAAAATTCCAAACACAAGGAACGAACTGAAACATCGGACTGTTGGCATGGCAACACTGGGCTATATATATTGGTGACGATTATGTCATACACTTAACGAAACTTGATCGATCGTTCCAAATCAAGCGTGAAAAGCTTCATGATGCAGTTGGTAGATCATGGTGCTGAGTTAACAATTTGGAAAACTGTCTTGCTAGTAGAAATATTGAAGGGCCATTGCCAGTCAAAGAGATTCTTAGCAGAGCAAATTCTGTATTGAATGACAAACGCAACTATAATGCTCTGAACAACAACTGTGTACACTTTGTCACCTGGTGTAGATATGGACGATCATTCAGTGGCCAGGAATCGGCCACCGAGGAGTCACTACTGTGACGATTTTAGATAGAAGAGATGCCTGTGTTGATGGTATTACACTTTATTTAACTCTTCAAATCATAAATCGCATCGATTACATATAAAGCACACGCTTAAATACTCAACCATTTGAGAGAACGAAGAAGAAGGATAGATAAAGACAAATGTAAAGGACAGAAAGATAGAGGCAATAGGTGTGATGAGAATAAATGGCACCATAAGACCAAATCTTATGTATAGGTTACACTCGAACGAGAGCATTACACCCCAGGATGGAATTTGGACGCTCTCTGCATATAATCGTTACACTCCCGGGTCAAAATCAGACGCACTCCTGGGTGTCTGCTAGTAACAACAAAAGAGAGACTCATGAATTAAGCTAAGAAAAGAAATTTTCACTAGAGTATAAGAAACTATGGAGAGAGAGGGCCATGACAAAACATAAAAAGAGAGAAAACGAAACAAACAGCAAATGTTGAGAGTTTGGGATGAAGTACAGATGAATTGTTTGTAAACAAATGATGTTGTTAGACTTTGCTTGATGTATGGCACGTGTGACTGAAAGTTGATAAATAAGATTGACTTCCTGAAGACATGATATTAAAGTTAGAGAAGACAATGAACGAAAAGTTGAATCATAGAGTGAGTCGAGGCGATACAACACAATACGTATAGATATGATAAGGAAAGTGCGTTGGGACCACGCACAGTCGGCTGCGACTCAAGCCGCCCTTTAATACGTGTGCTGATCTGCGATAGTACTACTGCTACCCTCAGCAGCACTACCGTCTCTACACCATCTCAATGAACACTACATCTCGAACATAATCGTTACTGTAAATTTAATTCATTTTATTGAATATAAAAGAAGTTGTAAGAATATTGTTGTGTACCAAGATGGTAATATTTGACTTCGACCAGAAGAGTGACAGGGTCGATAGCCAGGGTCGTCAGTTGTGACGATTTCTGAGGTAGTAGATGTTGTATAAAGTATTATTTAACTAATACTTTATTAAACTATCAAGAATCGTGCTATACTGTATTTTTCTCGTTCATTATATACCATTTTGCGGCATAGATGGACTTTGATTGATACAGCGTAAACAATATGAAGTGAAAGGACAAATCGAAACAGTACAACTAATAACACGATTATTGGCAATGACATATACAGAATGCCATTCTCTAGTGTGCAAACGTAAAAGATCGTAGTGATTGTAAACTATGTATCGGTGAAGGACAAATTGATAGTGCATGTTAGGAATGTAAATGAGAGAAGAAGAGATCAAAGTCTACAGAGCTTTGTATGAGTAACAACTAGAAGAGTACATTAGAAACAGTTTGGCTAAGAATACGCAACACATTACAAGTTCGGTGGGATTGTTACAACTATGACTCCAAAGATGTGATATAATGTAAGCTGTTGTACGCTCGATAGACTTCCTGGTTTCGACAAAGGAAATAAAAAAATTTTAAAATCTACTTTTTAATTTTCTTGTTTTACATCATGTTTTATATTTAGGAATGATCATTTGTTTTTAATTTGACTTCAGAGTATAGATGTCTATATTGAGTTTATCTGTACTTACGTTCTACTTCGTACAAAATGAGCATATCTTGAATTGAATTGAAGTTAAATGAATAAAATGATCTAACTCTCTTTTGTTTATACTCGAACTTTCATTTTTCTTTCAATTGCCCAGCAATCCAAAATGATTGTATTTTTCGTTTGATAGTGGAGAATTTGTAGATTCTATGCAAGAAACAATACTTTAAAGTGAAACATCTATTTTTAGAAAATTCGTTTTTTTTAGAGAGATGCGCTATTGCTTATTCTATTGAATTCAAATCCTCACGCATATATATTTCTGTTATTTTCTTCAATGAAAATCAATTATATGTAATCAATAATTTCAAGCAATAAGATATCTGCCGAGTGAGCATTTTTTATTCATAAACTTGACTACGACTTCAACTCGGAATTTGTTTCGACAATCCTTTCAGAAGATCAAATATCTTGAGAAAAATGCACTATTTGACATACGTTAGAATCTATAACTGTTGCGCGGAAAAATAGCTTTTTCTTGAGGTCGTGGAGAAAGTTAATCCTATTATAACTCTGTTCAAGACTATAAAATTCAGCAGAGTAGTTCTGAATTTATCTAATTAGAAAATATTCAAAGATCTCACCAATTTCAAATTTGTCAATTTGAACTACATGACGACAAACTTGTAACATGAAATATATATTTTTTTTAGATATCAAACATTTATTGTGAATAGTTTCCATTCAGTATGCCAAATTATTGTTATAAAGTTCGCCTCTGTACTATTATATGTCATATTTTACATTGTAGTTTTAGTTGCGAGATCCTGAGTAAGAAAAATTTTATGAATTGCATAATTCCGTTAGTATAAAACATTATTAATAGATTTATGCAAATAAATATAACTATTTAATTTGTTCGGACAATGAATGCTAGTTGGTTCTCGAATTGACACTGTCTACAAATGTGCATTGCAATCAAGTAAATATCGATAATTTTTCCAAATCGTTTAGCTAATAAATTACCTTCATCTTACAAAATAGTATATATTAAAATAGTCATTTAATACCGAAGTTCGCTTAGACGACGAAGAAAAAAACAAGAAACTGATCTGAACTACATGCAGTAAAATTTTCTTATCATACTTGCCTTGATAAAGCATCTGGCTCATTGATAACAATGGCTGATGAGAATAATAACAGCAGAAAAATAATTTTTAGTTACTTTAAAAATGCGTTGTTATATTAGAATCGAACTATTCTATCTTGAAATAATGACAACAGCAGAAAAAAAATATTAGATAAAGTTGTGTTTTGTGTATACTAAAAGCATTTTAGATTATTCCAACAAATAATATATAGATTGGGCAGACAAGGCAATGCTGATTAAGACTTTGATTCTTGTTTCACTTGTTTCCGAAGTTTTTCTTATAGAAATTCCTACGCCACCGAATCCCAAGCAGTTTACTATAACTGCAGGAAAGCCTACAGGCGCACCACAAATCGAAGTGACAACAAATTATGTGGATCGTTTTGCAGATCTCTTTAGAATTGATGTAAATAATGACGGTCGCCTGACGGAACAAGCTTTCTACGATGGAGGCAAGAAAACTGGATATTTAATATATTACGATGAGAATCCACCTCGATGTACAAAATCCAACGAGAACGATGCAGATATGTTAGAAGAATGGCAAACATTATCCTATGCTGGCAAGACCAAATCTATTAGTAAACCACATATAGAATGTAATATGTGGAATAAAACTGTACAATCTTGGACGTGGAGTTATCTTGCATCTGTCAAAGACAATACCCCAATAGAAATCTTGGACAATAGTATTCTTATATCAGTCTTTACAAACTATACAGTTGGACCATCTGTTGTGCCGAAGAGCGTTTTCGATTTACCTGTACCAGAAAGTAAATGCAAATGAATAGAGACAAACACTTTTACGAAAAGACAAAGTCAATACTTAACTTCGTTTCATCATTTATTATTCATATGTGAACTATTAATTTTAACTTAATAAAGAAAAACTTCATATTATTTAGATTACTCCCTAGTTTGCAGGATGATCCTTCATTCAAATGAAGTGTTCTTAGCTTGTTTCACTCTGCGAATATTTGCCATGTCTCTTGATAGAGAGAAATCGCAGACGCTCTAAATATATTGCGGAGAATATATTGACGACCTTGAACAACTTGATTATTTAGAAGTTTATGAGCATGTGAATCAATAAAATTCTGGTCCACTTTTTTTAGTGTTCTCATCGATGCCACACAGTAGCATGTTGACCATATTCATTTGTTTTAGCAGATCGCCATCATCAACCAGAGTGTATTATTCATTTCTACGGTTTGTTTTGTTTTATGTATTGCGTCAACTAATTCTTAGTATTAATGAATAGTGCAGCATTCAGATCAATTGAAAAACAAAGGGAACTAAAATAAAGAGAGGAAGAAGAAGCACTCCTGATTCTCAAAATGAATATCGTTGAATTCAGATCTTTATTGTATAGTGAAAGCACAGTCCGAACGAGTAAAGAGAAAACAACATGAATCTTACCAAAACAACGATACAATACATAAGTTACATATATCGAGGATAACCTCACGTATTATCAAATACGCGATAGAGAATACTAATGAGTAATAGAAATATTACCACGCTATAAGAACAGTCGATCAAGGTCATTGTCCATACAATTTGACCTTGAGAGAAAACAGAAACGAATATAGAGTAAATAGATGGATGGAAACGCAAGAACGAAACACAAGCACTATAAAGAAAGGATAGCAACTCACACGTTCATATTGTTTATAAGGAAAAGCAAATCCTTAGCAAGTATAAGGCTAAAATTTGATAGGGTCCGAATGAATAGATGTTTTTTACCAGTTGTGTCCAAAAATCTTGGATCCGACGGACTCTAATCCAGTGGTTCATACAAAGGGTTAATGTTTAGCTCAGTATACTCAACCCATGCATAAATAATTGAGTAATAGGAAGAAAATTGAATTTGAACTTCAAGATAGTATGTTAATTTATTTAAGGGCATGTCTACACTACCGGTGCCCGTTTTCTGAGCACCACCTTCCATACTCCAGTCGCTATTACTAAGACACGTATTCCGCCCATGTTTAATTCAGAAACGGAGATCGTCGTTTTGGTTCCAATGCGAGCGCTTACACTTAGCGTCGAAAAACCTTCTGAAGTAAGTTCAACAAATGATGTAGCATCGATACATTTACTCATCGATGGTGATCTCATGTATATGTCCATGTTTAGTGGTGCGCATACACATTTTTCATCTTTTGATCTTGTTCGGATGGACGCTCCTGAACAGTGATATTACCATTTCGAATGATTCATCCTCTTGTGTTGTTTTGACCGCATTTTGGGGGTGGCAGTATGTTCGCCAATAAGACTTTCGCCAATAAGACATTCGCCAATGGCGAAGTTCCACCGAAAGTGTTGGCGAAGCTCCAGAGACCATATTGGCGAAAGTATAGTGGACGTTCGCCAATTGGCGAAAGTCTTATTGGTGAAATTCCGGAACCCCCATTTTGGTCGTCCATTGATCAAAAGTGGCGTTGGTGCATTTCCGATGGTATCATTGAGAAGCATGGCGTTGTGATGTGAGAAAGCCTCATCCAAACCACATGCGTACATGCAATCAGCGTCCAACATAACAGTATGAGACAAATTACCGAACAACCATGTCGTCGCACTCATATTCGCATATTCAAATAAGGCAAACGCGAAACTATTCGCTTAGAATTCTGATTTAAGTAAATAACTATTTGTAAAATCGGCTCCTGTGACATTGCACAGTTCAAAACGAATGTTAAATAAAACGACATTTGCAAAGGTACTGTAGGCTATATTCGATTCACAAAATCGAGTATTTGCTGGCTTTTGAAAACCACCATGAAAGATCACGCCTGTGGAATTGACCTTTTCCAGTTTGACATGGTCAAAGATGAACTTGACAGGTTTCGTTTGATAAAATGTGGCTCCATATAAGCCAACATAGGCAAATTTGACCGACATGAGAATACTTTCGGAGAAGTCGACATTAACAAGTGTGCTTTTTTCAAATACTGTCTGTGTGCAGTTGGCACGAGCAAAGCTAGCACCTGTCAACTGAGAGCCTGTGAAATCCCAAAATGGCACATCTTGTCCTTCAAATAAAGCATTGATAAAGAATGTTTGACGAAGTGACAGTTTTTTCATTGCCGACATACGAGGTGAACTTCTTAGATTGATTCCATTGAAATTAGCGCCAGTAAGATCAAGTGAACCATTGTTGACAGTCAACTGTCCCGCATTGTTCAAAAAAATGAATCAACTGCAGAGCTCGGTCAGAATCAAGTTGACTCACAACATTCAGGGTTTTAGCTCGAGTAAGTGCAGCCTCTGTCGATCGTTTACTAATGAGTGAACTGTTAATCTATTTTAATATACTTCCGACATCGCTTATACAAGATAGAACGAGACTATCGAGATATCGCTTTTATTCTATACCAACTTCATCATTGCGTTGCGCAAGTATATCTTGATGGCGCTTTTCTTCCAATTCTAATTCGTGCTCCAGTTAGACAAGTGTATCTTTGTGACGTTTTTCGTCCAATTCTAATTCATGCTTCTGTTGGGCAAACGTCTCTTGGTGACGCTTCTCTTCGAGGCCAACTTCATGCTCACGTTGCTTTCGAGACATATTGCAGATATATTCAAATATTGAGCAACGCCGTATTTCAACTTCCTCTCGCTGAAGTCGTGCAATTAATTTGTCTTGTTCTCTTTGTGTTGTTGATATATTAAGATCTTGTTCTCGTTGCTCCCGTGCTGTATTCCGATCTTCCAAACGTTGTTGACTGTTTAGACGCTACTGGTGAAGAGTAATAACCACAGTAAAAATACCTAGTGAAAGGGATAAGATAATATAACTGACCACATTCACAAGATCTTTGATTGTGAGACCACAAACATTTGCACGATTTCAAACCTTAGCTGATTGCTGTAATGCTGATGTACACGACGAACAATGTTTGCACTCTGTAGACATGTATTTTTGTTATTTTGAAAGTATGCCAGAGAATTAAAGTATAAAAACCGAGTCAGATAAAAAAATCTCTCAGACAGATGTTGTATCCTGTTTTTATCTTATCTTTTGTAATATTAATCAGGTGTCAATCAATGCCTAACTATAAAACATGCTGAGTTATTGGTGTTTTATTAATCAACAACAGAGAATTGTGTACTTGAATGCACTTCAAAACTTACGATGTAACAGGTTAGACTTAATATTCATCAATACTCTGCCCGGTTCCCAGAAAAAATAAGCGGTCAACATGGACCAAAGAATCACCTACTACAACACTAAGCGTCCACATAACTCTCGAAGGCGTGGGTGTTAACATAGTTTAGTAATATTCAGAAATCGCCAAAAATGAAATAAATAACTCAGCTTCAATCATCATTGCTTTCCATTCATCACCTCATGCGGGACAGTCTTGCATGTCTCATAATGCGACTGTCATAACAGTTCTCAATATGGATTTTTGAGCGATATTCTCTTTTGAATAATCACCCACATGGATAGAATAAACCATTTATGTACCTTACTTTAAAAGTAGGCACAAAAAACATTTGTCACTTATTGAGACGCTATATGAGAAAACCAGTCATCCGTAGATATCAGAAACATGGCAGTCAACCGACTTCAAATCTGTCTATCCCATATAGGTAGTTGAGCATAGTTACACCATAGAATAATGTAAAGTTTTAGGCTCTAAATTTTTACTACTGTTCGGAAAGGGTGGACTGATCTGAGGTGCTCCAAGTACACATAAAAATGTGTAAAAATAAATGAAAATTTCATTTCTTATTTTTTGTGAGCTTTAGCTGTAAAAGCATTTTCATTTTCCGAATTCAACTACATACCAATTGATATAGTTTGACTTGCTTTACAAAACTGTGTGCATGACGAGTCCCCTATCTCCAAAATACCATCAGAAAAAATGAATTATTATAGTTTTTGGCAGCAAATTGAATATTTTCTGTCTAGCCATATTTGAGAAAATATTTGTGTCCGCAGGTAACAGAGAAAAAAATAACAGTATTATATTATAGTCCACCGAATTCTGCATAGGATAAAATATAGAGCATTATTTTTGAATGGTCTACGTTCATTATAGACAGGCCCAAAGGTTGAGTACTAGTATCTTATTAAGTTACCCTGTATTAGACTAAGTATCCTGTTTTTTTTATCTTACTGCAGTTTTAGGCGTTTATTTCTATCAAAAACTACGATTTGAACTTTCAGCCATTCTGAGCAAATTAAATATATATTGGCGGATTGAAGTCAATCAAAGTTTCTATTGCGGCAGAAAACTTAATGTATCTTGAACAATCATAATGACCATTATTCAGTATGCTAAAACTCAAACTGAATTCAATAACAAATCTTTATTAAAGCAACGCTCCATATTATCCTCGAAATTCTTTTATATTAGCTTCTCCATATGAACATTATGTTAAGATACATATCAGTTGTCTGTCGCAGTTAATGAGTATTATTTATCAAGATTTATGCACTAATAGTATATAAAATTTAGTCTTTTTTTAATAATTACAAATTCAATTGATTCTTGTAAAATAGACATCATTGTATTTTAAAACTTGTTGTGATCAGCAACACTAACATCAGTAATTATTTTCATATGAGATAAGAAGTATTAGGTATCCTTATAAACTGAAGTGTAAACCGTTTATATATCTGGTACAAAATCAATTTTTTATAACTATTTCCAACCTACGAACCATTCAAATGTAAGTCACGATAGAATTTGTCTAACTGAGGTCGTCAGATTGAACTCACTTTAGGAAATATACATTCTTGTGATATTCATATCAGGTTGTCAACATACCTATTTTTCCGAATTTCTGTAGAAAGCTTGAAAAAGAAATTTCTGGAAAATGAACTTGTTGAATAATATTTTATTTCAGTTAATAAAAATATAACATAGTGAATAACAATATTACTAAGGAGAAAAACGATCAAGATAGCATATAAATAAACTTTTAGCGTCAATGAGTACCATCTAATGACGCTAACAGATATTATAATGTTGTATTGTGTGTTATAGTAACCAATCGAAAGCAATCTTTTTACTCGTTCTGTCACATGACAAGAAGAAGAGAAAGCATATTTGCTCTGAAAACAGCGAGTAATTGTGAAAGAATAATGAAACACAATGACTCATGACTAACAAGTTTATATATATATATATATGTATAAAAAGAGAGAACACACTACAAAACAAATAAATACTCAGATGGCGCACACTGGTCTACCAGCCCATCTATTCAAATCACTTCATCTACCAAATCCAGAAAACTATAATGTTTATCTGGTTGGATCTCGCTTATGGGGAACAAATACTACCACGAGCGATTGGGATCTTCTGATCGTAGGTAATGTGCCGTCGAACCAGCTTACAAGCCTTCACAAAGCTCAATATGATATTACACTACTTGATCGACAAGAGTTTATAGCACGAGTGAAAGAAGGTTCCATCATAGAAGTTATCTGTGCTCTAATGCGTAAGGAAGACATGCTCCAGCACGCCTTTGACATTGGTAATCTACTAGTGGATTCAGGTGCCATAAAGACATGGCTAGAAGCAAGACAAATCAAAGATTTCGAAAAGGCAGAGAAATTCTGGCTCAAAGGAAATTTGCAACCAGCCTGGAAGATCCTCAGGCACATTCTACATGCGACAGCCCTCTACAATCATCTCGTTATCGCCCTTCAGAAGGAACGAGCCTTTCTTACCATAGACAATGTACAGACTATTGTACGATCAGCTACATTCCTATGTGACAAGACCTGGATGCAACTAGATTGGTCGAATGTGCACGCAGCTGTGATTGATGCATTGACACTTTTATAGTGTCATTGGATTTTTGTAAAATATTTTCAATAAATTGAAATATGGGTGTGGCTGTGAATGAGGATATAAACGTTTTCTTTCTGCATACAAACAGCAACACTCATGATCATGTTCCAAGTAGTACTCTATGTGTTCTATAGAATGGTATGATGAGATTCATGCTATCTAAAATGATCCTGCACGTATAAACCGAAATAATTAACGCACACTGAGAGTGTGAGTACACCCGGGAAATTTTATTCTTCGTCGAAATTCGTCTAAATAATTTTTGGTGTGGATCAGATGGAACAATTTACACGTCCAAGCGCTTTTTTTTGGAAACGTGTACAGACGCGTTTCTACAATACATCACACTCACAGAATCACGTCTGAATGCAATTTTTCTGGGCGCTTAGTGTGCACACCCACACCCAGCTATTTCTTCTTGGTGTTGTTTTTGTTGCTTCAATCTTTTTTGAAATGTTTTAGGATGTTTAATTTGAACGTGGTCTAGCCATTTATTTCTAGATCTTCTAATTTTTTTATATACCACGGGCAATAGTGAATACCATTAGCTAGAAAAGAATCCTGATGCATTACATTTCTCAGTTTCCTATATTAACATTTACCATCTTTCGTCATGAAGTAATCATGAAACTAGATGCTGCGAGAATGTGGGTACAGATCGAATGTTCTGGAATACAGTTATGAAGAGTAGTAACAGATAGAATCTATCAGAATGAACATTTCTCACATTTGTCTTTATGTTTGGAAAAACTCACTGGTCACCATATCGCAAGATACTCATTCGAGAACAGTTATCAATCTTATGAATCATCAATGATCTTACTATTAAAGAGTACGAGAACTAGGAGGTACTTTATATTCGTATTTATTATATTTATTGACAGATAATTACAATGAATTTTAAAAATTTCGTAATAAATACTAGAGAGAATAGCTCAATATTAATTTTTTCTTCATACTTTATTATTTTCTTCTTGCTCTTGTGATGGGAGTTCAAGTTTATATGTGATTCTCTTGCCAAGACGCTTTTGAAGATCAATTTTGTAAACATCACCTTGTCCTAACATTTTACCTGGCTTCGTCGTCGTAGCTAACGCTTTAACTACTTCAGCGCTATTGAATGTGAAAACAGTAACTGGATTGCCAAGACTTACTGGAAAGTCATGTCATGTACCAAGATTAATAATCATACTACAACCTGAAGTAGAAAAAGCAACTAACAAAGGATTCTTAATCAATTTAGATCAAAATTTTATCAACAATTGTGGGATTTGTCTATAAATAATACCCACTTGGAAAAATTCAGTAGAAAACCCATTAAATTGAAGAGGAAAAATAGTTGAGTGATATCAAACACAATGAGAATGTTCCATGACACGTTGTAATTTCTCATGTTATTACAACACATTAATCATAGTTGAAATGAAACGGATAGACAAGTTTCATCACAATATTTGGTTGAATTGGCATCTACTTAGGTCGTACAAAAAGTTCCCAGATTGCTATTGGCAATTTTATAAACCAATTAATATCGAAGAGTGTTGTGCACGGATAAATAGTGGAATGTCTTATCTATAATAGTATATATATTTTAGATTTAGGTATAGTATTTTTTTCGATAAACTTTAATTCGAACTGAAAAAAATTTTCAAAAATGGATTTTGCTTATGAACTATCTATTGTAATACAATAGATTTTTTATACTCTCAACATTTGTATTTCTTGTTGGTACGACTAGCAGCGTTAATTCTCTCTTTGAAAAATTCCTCGGATTAATTGAGAATAAATTTCTTTTTCGCCAGCAATTTCTCCTATGGTTTAAGTGAAGACTTACATAATGATATTATGAAAGTAAATAAAACATATTTGCATATTCTAAAGTTTAAAAGCAGAAATTATCAGGAAGAAAAAACAGCAAAAAAGGTGAGACTGCCCCCGGTGAGGTTCGAACTCACGACATCCGCATTGCTCCGATACTGTATATAAGTACGGCGCTCTAACCAACTGAGCTACGGGGGCTATAACGAAATGGGTTATAAACAAATAAAATTTTGCAAAATAAATGCAAAGCGACACAATCCACACTCTGTACCATTTAACGTACTTGCATCGGAAATGTTGCATGATCAAACTGCTTTCTGTTCGTTTGATGAACTGATAAATTCAACTGCTTCTGCTTGCTACACAATGCGCACTCCTAATGATGAATGAAATTGAGTTTCTTTTTCGAAACAATAGAAAATGAATTGTCAGTGACATTTTATAATCTTCTTTTCCATTGTAATGATGATACAACGCGATCGATTGATGGCTTACTTTTAAAGGTCAGTACGTCTCATACTGTAAATAGTATAAAACGAACGCATTTACAATATACATTTCTTACTTCAGCAATGACATCGTTGACACAAAACTTTATGGTCTCTTCAGGCATTACTTACTGAATATATCTATCATCCGCCAAAAACTAATGATGCAACTATATTTCTCTTTCTACATGGTTTTCCATCATCACTACAAAGTTGACGTCATCAAATCGATCACTTTAGCCGATTCGGTCATGACTGTTTAGCGCCCAATCTCTTGGGCTATGGCAAAACCTATTCACCTTCCGACTTTCAAGAATACAAGACTAAACAGATGATTCTCCATCTGGTTGCTTTACTCTCCCATCTGATGATTGATCGTCCCATTATTGTTGTTGGTCACGATTTGGGTATGTTACCCGCTTCTCGATTCGCTCTCTACCAACCGAAACGGATTCACGCGCTTATTCTCTTGAGTATCGCCTATAATCCACCCGGCTTGTTCAACATTGATCAAACTATTGATGCTATCAAGCAAGCAGCTGGCTACGATGCACTTGGCTATTGGAAATTCTTGGGTTCGGATCCGGATGCAGCATATCTTATCGAAAAGAATGCTAATGGCTTTCTTGATCTTCTATTTCCACCAGTCAATGACGCTCCTACGCTCTGGCGTAAGATTTTTTCTCCTGTGGGTAAACTAAAAGAATGACTTCTGGATGGTAGACGGTTGCTTCGTCGTGCATCCTACTTATCTGACAGTGACTATTACGTTAATCTTGGATATATATTGGAAGGAATGAAGTCAAAACTCAACTGGTATAAAGCCCAGATCGCCAATGTTAACGAAGAGGATGAGAGAAATCTAGATCCTAACATACGACTGCCTTGTCTTTTTATTGCAGATGCGCTCGGTATTCTTATTCTCTTTGACTTACAGAAACAATACGTGCCACAATTGACTATAATCAAAATGAACTCTACGCATTGGATTATGGAAGAAAAACCACGAGAGATCAATGAAGCTATTGAACAATGGATCATGACACTAATTTAATATAAATGGATTTATTTGTACCAAAGAGATAATGTAAATCCTTTTATTAATCAATAAAAGTTTACACGTAAGATTAAGTCAATCGGAATACAAATTTTAAGTTAGTCGAAAAGAGTATACATTATATTTCTATCGGTAGAAATGCAAAGTTTCTTTCTTCTCAAAAGTTGTAACGTAAAGGACTTAAAATTAGTATGTTTTCAGTAGTGTAAAAGTTGAAAAGTTAGTTCGACTATTCGATTCCGACAAGTTTGACCAGGTTTTCTAAATACCTGCGCTATTGAGTAGTTTCCTAACTTATGAATTCTGATGCTATTGATTGAATCGGTTCGCTTTGGAAATGTCAGAATCAGATTCATATTGAAGACAGAGAACCGTAAATAGTTCTGTCTATAGAATTGGCTAGAGGAGGTACACGAGAATATCATCCATTTCTCTATTGAAATTTCATTGATCAGCATTGTGTTAACTCTTATCATTTCATTTTCATCCCTAGCTCTCTAGTCGACGCAGGTGTGAATGTGTGAATTCAGAGAAAATAAACATACAGCCTATTTCAACTGCTGCGGTAGCTATATGAGGGTTGATCAAGCTGAATGATGCATCAATTCATGGACCACATAGAGCTACACCCGTTAACCTATCAATCATCGTCTGCATTCCTTGTTAAACGAAACTCTTTAATACTAATGATTTTGCATGCAATATAATTAATCTTAGGGGTGTAGTTGTTGGTATAGTAATGGTAATCATAAGAAATGATATAGAAATCGATAGAACTCATTGAACTTCATCGAATGGGATTGGCTTTTTCAGTGGCACGTATTTTGGATCATATTTGGGAATGATAATATTCGTGATTAATGTATCATGACTAAATTTAGGAGTGTTATTGATATTTTAGTGCTGTTCTATATACGAAACGGCGCATCAATCGATAGAGTTTGTCAAACTTCGTCAGATAGATTAGATCTTGATGTTGATACACGTTGTGGGGTGAATCGACAGATGAAGTATCAAAAAATTATCGAATTTCAGAGATGTTCTGAGTGGTGTACGCTCATGAATTTTGAAAATGGAATTTTTAAACACATTATTAGATAGAACTCATAGACGTGCATCGAATGGGATAAGTTTCAAAACTGGCACGTCTGAGGCATAGAATACATTTATGAAATATGAACAGTGTACATTTTGTCCCATAGTGATAAATCATATTTTTATAAGTGTGCATTTTGCTTTCATGCCATCGCGAGTTTTGAATATAGCATTGGATAGAGCTTATCGAGTTCTGTCTGACACGCTAACTTCAACAAGTAGCATAATTGATGGAAAGAATTTTTCCGAGAAAAGTTCGAATCTGTCGCTACTTTCCTTATATTTTCTTTTCACGGCCATATTTTTTTGAATATTACCATATGAAACATTCTTTTAATCTTGCTTTTATCAGTGTTAATGCGATACTATGAGATGTATGTATTAGTAGCAGAAAAAAAATTTATTCTATTATCCTCTCAAATTTCTACATTATTATCGCGAATTAGATGAAATCAACAAATTGATCTATCATTTAAGGTTTATTTTCAAACTAATTTTGAATAAAGTGAAAAATACGTTGGTATGTCGATGCCACTGTGGCTGAAAAAAGAACGAAACCCAAACCCACAGGGGTGTTAGTCCGAATTTATAAGTATTTTGCATGAAGTTCATCGTGCTATATGTGTGTCGCTACTGAGATGAGCTTTCGTCACAGAGAAACGTTTTCTTGTTCTTTGGAGCTGTCAAAATAGGAAAGATTTTCCCTTTTAATTTCGCATTATATTCAAAGTCGAACTAGATAGCTACTCTATTTTTGTTATCTACGTGGCATACATGTAAAAAGTCAGAGGTATGTGTTGTGGTGACACCTATACACTCCGATATTGATTATTACGCTTACTGAAACTATAATATTGATTACATTTCTATACTATGAATTATTTGAAAGCTCTTCTATGGTTTTTCGAATTTAATTCAAGCAGTTGCTACGTTGTATTAATAACCGTTACTCATGACACACAATCTCTGTCAACACACTGTTGAATATAAATCATATTGCATTTTTCTATGAAAAACTATGACAACGTTTCTTTACCATACAAAACAAGGAAGAAGGAGAACGCAAAAAACAACGAAGAAGAAACACTTCAGTACTAATATGAAAAAAATTATATTTACTAGTCTAATCGACTTTTATTTATTTTGATGTCACATAGAAAGCATGCTATATGAGGTGGGACGATGGGAGAAAAAAACGTTTAGCACAGACACACTTGTATTTTCGACTTTTTTCGCCGATGGTAATAGGTAAAAGAAATCTACGGAACAATTTAGGTGATCGAAATGACTGTTTGGCAGAGCCAGTGAATGACGTAAATGCAGTGCAAAGTAATTCAGTTTTTATTAATTTCTATTAATAGATTCGAAAAAATATACCAAGAACTATCAGCATCTGGAAAGATGTTGAATGTGAAAACAGTCACATTCACATATAGGGATAGTCTCTGGTAGATCCTGGTATAAAATTCTGTTCTATAGAATAGAAATTTTTAATTATTTCGTAGCTCATTTGTGCCATGAACTCGGTAGAGAAAAACATCTTATAACAAAACTAGATGTATCCTATAGCTATCTAAGATGTTTCTTCATCAGACGTCACTCACTTTCCGTAAGGTTTTAAAGGAGATTTTGATCAGATTCGATTTCAGATTTTCCAGAGATTCAGTCAAATCCGATAAACTTTTATAAAGCTTTTATGCACCCCTCTTCCGATAGGAAACCTTTTGAGCTAGTCAAATCTGTTTTCAGATTTGTTCAGGCATTCACTATCGATGACAAAAGTCGAAAATATAAATGGGTTGAATTTCCCCCCTCTGCTTCAATTTTCTTAACATAAACTATAATTGCTGATAGCTAGATATTCACATAAAACAAACCAAATAATTCAAAAAATTCAAAAAATGTCATCGTCTGCTAGTGTAATTGCAACTTCCAAGTCCACAAGTGTCACTGATGACGAGGCCAATACAGCGCTGATTTTGTCGAAAAGTGACGATGTAAACACGACACAGAGCAATGCGCAACAACATCCCATTGAAATTGACATTTCATTCAGATATTGGTCAGCACACAGCATGAGAAAGTTTATTATCATTTGGTTGGATCCAAACATGAATGAATTGAATAATGATTATCAAAATTCTATCAGTCAACTTCGACAAATTGTCAGTTCAACTAAAGTATTTACAGATGTCGAGCAATGTATCGACTTTATTATTGAAATTGAAAATGCAAAGTTTTTTCTGATTTTACCGGAAGCGATCACCAAAACAGTCATGCCACTTATTCATGACACACCTCAGCTCGATTCTATTTATGTCTTTTGTTTGAACAACATCAAAGATGAACAATGGATTTCAAAATGGAAGAAAATCAAAGGTGTCTTTTCGGATATCTTATCCATTTGTGATCAACTTCAACGCAACATTAAGCATTACGAGCGGAATGGTATACCGGTTTACATTATATCAACATCTTCAATTACTGATTTAAATGAACTCGATCAAACATTCATGTATTCACAATTACTTACAGAGATTCTTCTCGAAATGAACTATGAAAAAGCGGCAAAAACAGAATTCATTGAACTCTGTCGTAAACAATATCAAGATAACAAAGTGCAGTTACATAAAATTGATGATTTCGAACGAAACTATGAACATCACTCGGCGCTATGGTGGTATATAAATGAATCATTCATAGTTTACATGCTTACTAGGGCATTACGAACGCAAAATATCGCGACCATCATCAAAATGGGATTTTATATAAAAGATCTTCATCGACAAATTAAACAAATACACTCCGCATCAAACAAAAACAAACTAATGACTACCTACCGAGGTCAAGTCGTGGCAAATGCTGAATTTGAGAAGTTGAAAAACAGCATAGGCTCTCTCATTGCATTCAATAGTTTTATATCGACGACCACCAGTTCTGTGGAGGCAATTTTATATGCTGAATCTGCTCAAGTCGACCCTCAGTTGATGGGTATTGTTTTTCAAATGGAAATTGATCCGTCGATCTTGACAATCCCTTTCGTTTCATTAAGCGACGTTTATGACATCCCGTTTTGCGAAAACGAAATTCTATTCTCGATGCATACTGTTTTTCGGATCAATAAAATTGAACAAATAACCGATTATTTGTGGAGTGTGGATTTGGCATTAACGAGCGACACTGACGGTCAGCTTCAACGTCTGGCTCAACGTTTACGTAAAGAAATCGAAGGACAGAATCAGTTGCATCGGTTAGGTAATCTATTAATCCGGATGGGCGAATTTGACAAAGCGGAAGAAATATTCAAGACGTTACTCGAAACAACATCAAATGTTGACCTGGAACAAGTTACGTCTTTCTACAATCAATTGGGATGTATTTGCAAAGAGAAGGGCAATTTTTCAAGTGCACTCTCTTATCATCAGAAGGCGCAGGAAATTCAGCAGAAAATTGCTGTGCCAAATCATTCTGCGTTAGCTAACATCTATAATAATATTGGTGAAGTGCATCGATTAATGGGAGAGTATTCAACTGCACTGTTATACTACCGAAAAACGCTTATAATCGGCCAAAACTTTGTCAGTTCCGATTCTCCGATGTTAGCTATTATATATAATAATATTAGTCAGGTGTATAATTTGATGGGAGATTACTCAGCTGCTCTCTCTTACCTACAAAAAACTCTCGAAATCCAAGAGAAAAATTTTCCGCTGAATGATTCAAATCTGATCGCTAAATACAACAACGCAGATAAATCCGATGATTCAATTGGAGAAAACTCAGTTGCATCATTGAACTTACAAAAAGTCTTTGAGATACAAGAAAAAGTTATTCCGTTTAAAAATCCTGATCTGGCAGCTACATATGAAAACATCGCTCGAATGCATTACGCTATGGGAGAATATTCAATTGCACTCTCACACCATCAGAAGGCATTTGAAATCCGACAGAAATCTCTTACGTTCGACCATCCTTTACTGGCTATTACACATAACAACATTGGACAAGTGCATTATGCTATGGGGGAATATTCCACTGGACTTGTACACCATCAAAGGGCACTCGAAATACAACAGAAATCACTCCCATTGAATCATCCTGATCTGGCTGCTACTCATAGCAATATTGGTCGAGTATATGATTCGATGGGAAACTATTCCACTGCATTATCCCACTTGCAAAAGACACTTGAGATCCAAGAAGAAAGTCTCCCACCCCATCATCCTGATCTGGCAACTACATACGAAAACATCGGTCGAGTGCACTATGCTATGAGAGAATATTCAATTGCACTCTCCCATCATCAGAAGGCCCTTGAAATCCGACAGAAGTCTCTTATGTCTGATCACCCTGTATTGGCAATTACACATAACAACATTGGACAAGTGCATTATGCTATGAGAGAATATTCCACTGCACTTTTACATCATCAAAGGGCACTCGAAATACAACAGAAATCTCTCCCATCTAGTCATCCCGACCTGGCTATGACATACAATAATATTGGTGAAATTTACGTCGGAATGATTGACTACTCAAATGCAATCCTATATTATAAAAGGACGCTTAAAATTCAGCAAGTAGCTTTTCCATCTAACCATCCATTGTTAGCGATCACCTACAGCAACATTGGCCGTGTAAATGAATTGAGAGAACACTACTCAGATGCACTATTTAATTATGAGAATGCACTCAAAATTCGGAAAAAAGCTCTCCCGCCCAACCATCCGTCGCTTGCAACCACTTATAATAGCATTGCTGAGATGTATCGATTGACGGGAGATTATTCATCTAGTCTTCTGTATCATGAACATACACTTGAAATACAAACGAAATCTCTGCCGCCAAACCATTTATCACTCGCTGAAAGTCATCATCAGATTGCAGTGATCTTGAAAGGGCTTCATCGATATAGCGAAGCTGCTGAGCATGCATCACGTGGTCTCAATATTATGCGTCATAGTTTGGAGCCACAACAATCTCAAGTGGAAAAGTATCAAAAATATCTCGATGAAATACTGCTCATACCGGAATGTAGCAAGCTCACTATGGTCAAAAACATCAATGAGTAAGTGCATCTCTTCCATGAATAGAATCGAATGTTTTGCTATGTAGATGGACCTATCCTTTTCTTCTTGTTCTTCACTCATCGCACCAATCTCGGCTACATTCAATATTGTTCGACTTAACTGATGGTCACCTTATGCCTCCTAGCTTACCGCACGAGTGTTTAACCAAGCTAGAGTCGAACAAACAAGTTAAGAGTATCGTGCTTGAGATGTTGTCCGATTCTGTCGATGAGCGAGATCGCGTGCTCAAAGATTTTTCATCTGTCGATCACATCGAATCAATTTATTTGCTGGGCAAACCGCCAGAAATGAGCGAACAACGATATAAGTTTTTCACTAGCTTTCACAAAGTTTCCATATTTTGTGAGGATGAAGAAGAACTAGCTGTTCGTTGGGCATTGGATACGGCTAATGAATTTCGACAATTGGGTGGTCAATGTGCTGAGGCAGGTAATATCGATTCGGCTCGTGAGTACTTTCAACGAGGTAAAGAACTCTACAAGCACCTTGCCAAGATTATCGATCAACCAAGATCACAAACGTCATGAACTCATTTTCCTTGATTGTGTCATAAATAAACCAAGAAAAACTTTCCTTTTCTTTAAATTGAAATATTGTGTTGTAACGATTATCTGTGTTTATTTACCGTTTTAGATTATTATGGCTGATATTAGTATACAGTTATTGATTCTTCTTGATCCCCAAAACAACCATGTATGTTATGATGAGAAAATCGATCTCCAAATATTCAGACGATGCAACAACACTCAACAATGTCGTGATCATATTAGTAATCAGTCAGACAGGGACAAACATTTGTTTCTCCCTGATTTTGAGATGGAATTTGCGAAACACCCTTATCCTGGTTTAAGCGACACATTTATTTATCTATACTGCCACAGTGACAGCTCGATCGATTTGTGCAAGAAAGAATTGAAGGAGCGTGCTTCGAACAGAATATTTACGGTTGATGAACTACCGTATTATCTATATGGCGCTGGCATTGAGTTATTGCTTAAACTCTTGAAAAAACCACCCAAAGAGCTAAATGCAAGTCAGCGACACGAATTGGCTGTGATGGCTAAACAAAAACTAAGGGAGCTTGATATGCTATTTGATCAATACATGGACGAAAAATTGAGTAAAGAGACTGTCGATTGACGTTGATATCCGTTTTATTTCTTTTTCTACAGATATTGTGCGCTATGTAATCACAATTCTTTATTTTATTAAATGTGTAAACACAAACCCATGTGTTCACGTAACGAGAAAAACAAAACAAACACCGAGCATTCACTGAAACTTTCACATGTGCATCGTCAGACATATTAGTCATCACTGATGCATCTTTCTATCATTCTTATTTTCTATTCTGAAAAAAATGAACAAAATGTTCATTCAACATCTCTCCTGCCATAATAGAAAAATTTCAAATCAATGTAGAGATGAGATTGATGATGATGATGAGTTTTTATTTCAAGCTGTCCGACATAGGGTGGGTGTGGGGTACTTTCATTATATATAAATCCATACTTACAAGATTAAAGCAAAATACTGTGAAAATGAAAGCCTTCTTACGCTGCTTTATAGCCACGGCAGGGCGTACAAGACACCGTTTCGGATGGTAGTCTTGGAACGTCTTGATGATGAACAAGTCGTAGATGTTTGGACCCTATCATGCATTACAAAATTAATATTAATTGTGATAAAATAAGTTCAAAGGTAAGAGGATGGTGTTTTTTTATTATGTCACAAAGGCTAAATCTGATGACATGATGTTTCTTTTTAGCTGTGTTATCTGATATAGAAATTATCGCGCAAGTCATATGCGATATATATAAGGATTCCGCAATTTTTATCAAGAAGTTGTGACCATTCTATCTTATCGATATCCAAGACTGTTTCAATTTGTTTAGTGGAACTGGAGTTCAGTTGCATAAATGAACAAGTTTTAAATATTCTCTAAGTATATGTATATATTTGAACTAGTCGAAATAATCTTTTTTTTCTGCTTCTTGATTTCAGCTGAAGAGGTTGAAAAGGTCAAGGAAAATGTAAAACTGTATTGCGACGTCAACAATTTGTTTTCAAGGTACTTCCGAGAATAAATAGTCATATTTTTCTTTTTTCTGTGATATAAAGTAGTGACATTTGCTAATTTTTTCTTAAAATAAAAGCAACATTTCAAAATGGTTTTCTTATTGGTTTAAAAAACCGAATTTTTGTGTGATAACGAAGGATAATTGTGATTATAATAATGAAAACTATTGATTTCATTGAGTATAGCAGTTATGGTGAGAGAATTACAAGAACAGGGTTTTTTTGTGTGAGACTTCTCACCAAGTTATAGTGATGATTTTTCAGAGTATAACTCAATCGGTTACTGACTCAAATATAATTAAGGACAGTCAGATTCAAAGCAGAAAATAAATTGTTTTGCGAAAAAAGATCAAGAGCTATTCACATATCAGCTGAATAAATGTTTAGTTATTTTCGACTCTTTCTTATTCGTACTGTAATCAGACTATCACTTCTCTGTCATATGATAGAAATTTCGTTGATTTATCAAAGAAAGATTTATTTATATTTGTTTGAAGTACTTCTTCCACATTCTTTTGTAACTGCCTGATGTGAGCGATCTTTTTTTGTGCTTTCAGATCTGCAAAGTAAATATTTTGACTGTAGCATATTCGTTTTCGTTAGAAGTACTCTAATAAATCTTCACAGTTCATAGGGTGTGAGTGTGTGGATGTGGGTTCGATTAAGATACAACACCCACACCCTCAAGAGAGTTATCTCGTTACAAGTCGATCATTTTATTATGTTGCTGAAAAACATCTCTTGTCGAAATAAGAAATACATTTAGAGAATCTTTTTCTTTCTTAGATAGCCGTAACTAACGACTACAATTTATTGACGGTGTGAGTATAGTTCTAAGCGAGCAGAAAAGCAACATCCACACTTCATAATGAGAATTTATTAACAAGAAATCAGACTCAGAATATCTCGAAAGACTGATTTGCATGGTGCGACAAAACTATAAAAAAAATCAAAATATCGATTATTGTATCACGATGATTTGAGAATTTCAAGTTCAATAACAACAGCTAAATGATCACTTGGAATTTTACAAGATGGTAAAGCAGTAAATTCTGTAACTTGTTCATGGGTTGGCATTGGTATAGAACGCTGAAATTTAAATTTACTCGACTCATAAAATATATGATCAATAACATCATGAAAGTGTAGTGCATAAGTTGTATATGCATAATTCGAATAGGTGCTTAATTCAATTTGAGTTTTATAATCAAATTTTTTTGTTATTTTAGCATAATCTTAAATAAAACATAAGAATTATTTATATGTAAAATTTTTATTGAATAACCTTCATTGTATTGTCCATGATTCTTATCGGTAAGTAAAAAACCAGTAAACAGAAGATGAAATGCCAATGATGTTAAACTAGCATTGAAGTCTCCACTCCATATTATTGAAACATTCTTTTTCTGTTTTTATACATTGGATATTTGAAATAAAAATAATAAAAATAAAAGAGTTACCTGTTGTTCATAAAGCTGTTTAATCTCTTTGATACGTTCAAGTGCAATCATAGTTTGGAAACATCGAATAACATCCGCATAAGGATGAAAATATAAATGCGTATTACATGTTAAAAAAACTTCATTTGATTCTTCGCGTCGTTCTAACGCTAAAATCTAAAGCATGAATTTCTGTATTATTTTTTATACCAAAATATACATTCTATTATGAGTTTGAGTTTTAGAAACTCGTTTTTTGTTAATATTCTCTAATAGTAATCTAAAGAAAGTTAGCACGATACCTTATACATTTCAATTCTAACTAAAAACACTCATTATAGAATTTCAGCATTCTCCTCTCGTAAGATCGTGATTTGAATCCAACGGGAAGAATCGTTCAGCAGTCAATAGTGACTTTGCTCGTCGTAGTATCTCTAACTGGGTGATTGATATATAAAATCATCAATTAAACTTGTGGATAAAGTAAAAACTCAATCTGAAAGCTTTTGCACTGGTACAAAATAACGGTTGATCACATAAATAACATCTTATATTCGCATAGCAGTTCTCAAAGAATCTCAACCCATGTTCATCAATAGATAAACATAATGGAAGTTGATATTAAAATATTTCGTAAAACGAAAACAAACGATAGAATAATCTTACTTGTAATACGGTATTTCTTTCTAATAAGTGTGTATTGATTTCTGGTACTAATGAACAACGACGACGAATAAATTCCAAATGTTTTGCATCTCGAAAATATTCACCTATTTTAATATCATGACTACCGATAGCGCTTTAAAATATAAATAGATTTCAATATAGCTAAATAAAAAGCAATAATCTTACGTAAATCGTTTTGTTCTATAAAAAATCGCTGAACCTTCTCTGACTGAATGACTTTTTATTTTCATATCACCTAAATAACCATATTGTTTTAATACTAATGAAAGTTCTCGTTTATAAAATGATATATCGCATTCTTGTAATGAAATAATATCAGCATGATATCCTAATATTTCTTTTAAAAGAAGTGCTTTTCTATAATCATGTTGAAGATAATCTTCTGAACAAAATGGATACAATTTCTCAGTAGCATGATCTGTTGATGCATATCCATTTGCTAATATATTATATGATACTAAACGTAGACTAAAACAAAGAATTATTTTATGAGAAATAAAATAATTAGTTAAAATTTACTTGTTTGAATCAATTGGCAAATAATCTTTTGTTAATTCGTGTCTTGTATTCATTGGTAAACCCAATGGACATGGAATAATGCATGTTTTTGATATACTTTCAGCTTGTATACCTTCGCGTAATGAATTATTTCGTGGTAAACAAACAAGACGCACAAATTTATTAACCTGTTCATCATGAAATGTACAAAATGATCCACGATGTATATGTGTCCATTGAGTATGATCATTTGTGGTTTTAATATCATCTGTAACATACCAATCAAATAAGGAAGATTCATATTCGCCATACTCGATTTCAACAAATGCTGTTGTTATTGTATTTGTTAGAATTTGTTCAGGAAAACGAAATCTAATAACAACTAAAGAAAAATAAATAGAAACTTTACTTATGATTCTAAAACAAAAAGACAAACCTGGTGCATTGTATTCAACATTATAAAATTGCCCATTAATTGATAAACTTTGGCAACTACGCCATGCTTGTTGATTTGTTTGATTTCCGTCAATTGGTTGATCGTTATTAATATCAAACAATTCTACAACAATAAGTTTTTTTTCAGTATTTGTTGTGGCATCAATTAGGTCTTTTTGATGACGTTTATTTGATTTATTTTCTTTAGTTGTAGCACTTTCAATGTTAGCTATTAAACGATGTATTGTTTTAGAAACAGGTTCATCCATAGAACGTAACAAATTAAATTGGCGAGAAATATTTGTTGAAGGAATTTCATAAGCTATTTGAATAAGAATTTTTGTTGAATTCTCTTTATCAAATACAAAACATGTTCGATTATTGGATCCCATTAATAAATTTAATCTTTTTAGGTCGGTAGAAAATTCACAAGTACAACTAGAATGATGAATATCGAATAAGGGAAACTATTGGATTTTTTAAAATTAATACAAAAAAATATTTTCTTTCAATAACATTTGGATCAAAGCCAAAGTGCTCCATACCTGTTGATTGATCCTTGGTTTTTGACGCATTGAAATCACCTAAACGTTCTTTATTTATGTTCTTTCAATTGCGAAATACATGAGTAATTCATCGGTATTGACAAATTACTGAGTCATTTTTTTCTATTTCGAAAAAAAAAGATTAGCTTTCATCATATGATAAATATACGAAAACAACTAAGTATTTGACAGCGTGAATTGACAATTTTGCTTGACTTAAAGATTCAACCAAGGGCGAAAAAGCGCGACTTCGGTACCCCTTCGTACTTCCCTGTACTTCACTTGTACTCCCTTGTACTTCAAAATGTTTTTGAAGTAGATGAAGTCGCGCTCCNCCCCCCTGGATTCGACCAATGCTTATCACTGTCAGATAAATATTGCCACGTTGAAACAAAAGAACAAATAAACTGTACTTAGCCAGTCGAAGGTAAAAACAACGAGAAGATTATTGTTAATATAATTACAGTCGAAACGAAAGCTGAGATATTTTGATCATTGAAGGTGACAAGTTTTAGGTGAATTACAATGTCGTACTCACATGATTTTAGACAAAAATTATGTTTTGATCATAGTTTTTGTCTCTATGAATCAAATCACCACCAAAGAGTTTTATTTGACATCGAAGTAGATCTTCACTTGAATGGTATATATATATATAATTTTGATTGTATTAAATTAATTATTGTTAATAAAATGAAAAAGTTTTTCTTATGTGATGATCCTTAGTTCGAATTGAAGCTATATTTTCGTAACGATGATGAAATATGGATTATTCAAATTTATGTACAGAAAATGCTTGTGAATTAAGCCAGACTTTTTAGTCTAAGAAATATTGTTTTTTTATTTGGTGCATTTCTTATTAAACAAAGTCATCAAAATGAAGCTGAAAGCTATTATATTTGTTGGATGGATAAAATTCGTATCATCTTGATGATATTATTCAATACTATCATACACTTAGTAAACTTCTAAAAGATAAAAAAAAATATTGAAGCACTTAAATATCATCATAAAACCATCGAATATTCAAGAAAAATATCAATTAACTGATCATTCTGATTTAGCAGTATTCTTGTTCCTATTCTGATATGGCTGAAACATTTAGAAATATTGGGTTATTTTAACAAGATAAAGGAAATTTACAACAGTCGTTGTTATCATTTAAAAAATCAGCTATTATTTGTCGACGCATGCTATCTTCGGAACATCCTGATATTGCTGAAATTGAAGAAAAAACTCGAAGAATTTCATTTCATGCGAAATACTTTGATTGTTATTTTTATGTATCAATTATATTTAATAAAAAGAAAATATCATTTTCATTATTTTATTTATCAAATAAATTTATTTTTACAAAAAAAATTATTTTTCATTTCGTCGTCTTGTTTTATTTAATGGCGGACGAACAACTATTTGACTTGCTTCAAGTTCATCTGCCATTTGTAAATTCATCCATTCTTTTTCACTACCAATATGAACGTAAAGATCATGTACTTACTCTTGTAAATCTTCTATTTCCTATATAAAAACGAAATAATAAAAACATGAAACTGTTATGTTTTTTCAAATAAACCCAGTGTAATATACAACATGGCATGCACAAGCTGTTTCTCATATTTTTATGTAGCGGTGAAAACGGTTAGTTTAAATAATAGAGAATGCTCTTTTTTTTTACTCTATCTCACCTTTGAAGGTAAATAAAGACCAATGTATCACACTGTCATCATTTTTTACGCATTGAAAATTGGTGTGACATAGGGGTGTGAATTTGTTGTTATTGTTATTGTTATCAATAACAACAAGATAACAATAACTTCTCACCCCTAGTGTGACAAATCAAAAGTAATCATGACTGTACAACTGACTTTTCTCATCTTTAGGGATATGGATTCGATCATTCATGAATGAAAGAACTACACCTGCACATCCTTATGGTCTAGGCCGTTTATGCGCCGTTTTCTTGGACATTAGTAATGATACGATCTAATTCTTGTCCTTGATGTTGATTTATTTGATAATTTTCATTAACAAAATAAATTATTTCGTCGAGAAGAAACATGCACACGTTGATCAATAGAAGATAATTACTTCTGAAATAGTTCAGTAAAATTTTCATCTGGAATTTGTTATACTTGTTGTGTCAACTCAACAGAAGCTGGAGATTCTTTGGACGAATAGAAAGATAAAATTGAAAGAATATTTTCTTCAAGTACATATGTCCTTTTTTAATGACATATGATAAATCTGAAAAAGAGAAATATTATTTTAATGATGTGGAAGCTGTTAATAAAAAAAGAAATAAAGACTTCACTGAAAATAATCAGTATTAAACAATCACAATTTATTTACCATTTTGTTTTGTCCTATAGAACAAGTCTCAGTTTGAAGCAATGAAACTTTTCATATGTTCCTTTCTATCATTTCGCAATAGAGTTTACAGATGACGTCCTATTATGTAGTTAGCATACACTGATAAAAAAATCCGGGTAATGATTTATCCCTGCATTTAAAAATTCGCCATTAAACCCTTGAAGGGTTTTTTCCGATGTGATGGACCCTTTTAACGTTTATTAGTCGAAGGGTTTATGACGCTATGGGGTTATGAGAACTCAAAGGATATATGATGGGTACATAAGGATTCATTATTCTACGATTTTAAGATAAGAGTATATCCTTCAACGGATGATAGTAGATTGTTGTTCGCTTTCAAGATAGGGGTATTTTATTCTTCGTTATTGGAGTTACTATTTTATTTTTTCGTTAAAAGGGTACGTCACTCTGCCTTTCTGGGTAGGGTAAGCTACCTTTTCTCAGAAATAGTTCATTATTCTACGCCTAAGGGTAGACTCTGCTACCATGTCCTGCTAAGGGTTTAGTATTCCACGTTCAACAGTTGATTCATCTACATCTTAATAAAAAGGGTTTAGTAATGTACGTGAATGCTCGATTCTATGCCTCTTCATTGGCAGGTTTTCTATTCTAGTGACAAATATCGGCTTATCTACTGTAGCATCCCAAGGGATAGTTTCATCGTCAGTTGAGGGTTGATTCTACTTCTCTTTTATTGAAAGAAGTTCATTGTTCATCGTACAGGGGTTGATCTTTCCGCACATTCGTTAAAAGAGTTTATCATTCTACGTACAGAGATCGATTGTTCTACTGTTTGATCGGAGAGATTTATTACTCTACGCACAGGGGTTGATTATTTTACCTTTGCGTCAAAAATGGTTTCATAGGGTGTCGGTGTGAGGGTCTGGGTCTGGGCCTGGTTAATGTTATTTTATACAGTCACCCACGCGCTAAGTTGATGAAAAGAAATAGTAAGATCCCATCGTTCTTTTTTGCAATAGTAAAAACCGAAAGGAAAAGATGGATCACTTATTTGGTAACCTTGCGGTGTACACGAAAGAATGTTTTGATATGCGAAAATAGGAAGTAGCGAAATTAGAGTCACACTTCATTGACTCAGGTAAACATTTTATGTTCGAAAAAAAGAAAAAATATGTAACGCCTATATATAAAAAGTAATACCTCTTGCAGACTCACATTAAAAAATTAACATTTTGATACCGACTGGTAAGTAGTCTTATTCGATCTTCGATATTTTTACATTAGTGATATGCTTGATTTTTACAATATAGCAGTGTAGATAAAAATGACAGCAAAAATGAAGAAAGATAAGCATGCATTTTTGTGTTTAATATGAAGATATTGAAAAAACTGAGATAGAAAGTGTTACAGAGGCGCCGCTGTAACTTAAATCAATTCACAGAATAGAAATTTATGTTTCTATTTAACCAATCAACAACAAATTTCCTATTTTCGATTCCTAATCTGAATTCTAATCTTTTCTTCATTATTATTTTTTCCCTATTTAGAGAGAGAGAAGAAACAAAGGAAGAAAGGGCATTTACTTCTTCAGCTAGACTATTTTGTATATAAATATGATGGTGCATCATTCTACAAATGCACTTAAAATTCCAGTCGAAGAAGTGAGGCCATTATTTATTGTCGTCACGCATGGGAGGAAAGAAGACACAATAGAGAGATATGCAGAGAGAGGAAAGAAAGAATGAAAAAGAGCGGTTGGCGTATGTGCATCTTGAGTTGGATTGCACATATAAGAAACACATAACGTATAAAGATGAAACAAGAATAAATAAATAAATAACTTGTTAGAGTACTCTCTAACACCTTCGATAGGGTTTATGAAAATGCAGCGTATGCTACACCCTTTTAAAGTTGTTCAGTCGTATAAACGCTATGATAAACCTTTCTATTTCGTCTTTTGATGGATAGATAAAAAGGTTTATCGCATGCTGCTAAACGGTAGAAAAAGGTATATCATCAGTTGCATTTCCATAAATGCCTTAAACGTCTACCATTCAGCGTTTCTTTTTATCAGTGTAGTTACTATTACCCTGGTGGCTGAATACGGTAACCAGATACGGGCCGTATAAGGTTGTATTTGTACCGTGATTTTGCCGTAAATATGTTGTATACAACAAAAATACGATCGTAAAACACCGTCTTGGATTACGGATCGTATTGTTTGACCAGAGTAGTATATCAGCACAGTTTTTCGTAATAAACTTACCCAGAAGGAAAATCTTTGATCTTTCTATTCTTAATCGTTGTCGATTTCTTATTGTTTTTGAATGAAAAAGCACTCAAGAAGCTTGGAAATTCCGAAATAAGTTTCTAGGACAAGGGGGAAAAGAGAATTCCATCTATTCTGAGTACAGTGGCAATCAACACTATACAGCAGATACGATGACAATCCAGAGGATCCCACAATCACTGGATTCACTTTTCCTCCTTGGCTTTTATTGTAGAAAAATGGAGCATTTCTGGTGAAAATGTTTGAATCTGACAAAATTCGTTTTAACGGGGTTCAAGTTTAATCTCAACTGAAAATACTCGAAATTTGAAAGAAATACAAAGTTTTACGCAAATACATTCGTGCAACTGTTAATAGATACTAGCAGGAATGTATTAAAGTAAAAATTGGTGTTGAGTTGGTCATCTGTATGCTAGTATATACACAAATTGAAACAATATGCACTTATCACTTGTTTATTATTTATTTTGGTAGTATCAAATGTGAGAAAATTTCTTATTATGTTAAAATTGCATCAGTATTAGAATATCTTTCGATAGATTTCGTGAAACTTACAAATAGTTTCCAAGGCAATCGTGCATGTAACTTTAAGAGTGTAATTTTTGCTGCTCCCCTTCTCATTGCAAATATGAATGAGTTTATAATTGTACTAAATAGAAACGAGAGTAGTTAAATTGCTATTTCGTTTTTTTCACATTACATACTACGTAAAAAAACAAGACCTACCCGTTACAGACATTAACGAGTCAATGGTTGTGCTAATTACAAATTAGGCTGCTATTTTGCCTTTTTTTTTCATTACATATTACACGAAAAAAGCAACATCTACTCATTACAAACACTAGAAATCAGGCTAGATCACCATTACAAACGTAGGGGAAAAAAAGCTATGGCCTTACTATAGATTTTAGAAAATAAAGTAGAGTTTTCAGTTGCCATATTTTTCACTTGTTTAGTAAAACTAAGCGATATACGTAAATGAGTTTCATACTTTGGGTCCAGAGGCACTGCGATAGCAAATGTTTTTGATAACAAACGCTGCTGGCATTGAAAATTATATATTTTTTCTTTCTGGTAAGAGTAGAAGTTTTCTGTATTTTGTTAACGATGGGGACATGAAGTTCTTGGAATGCTTGATTAAGTTTTTGTTAAGTGTTTTTTAAGTATTCATTAAGACGAACAAATGACGGGTAAAGTGTTAATTCTAAAAGAAGATTTAACAAAGTTTACGTTTATTAGTTGTGCATTACCTAGCAATTAGCATCAATAAATACTGATCAAGTTAGCAAAAAGAATAATAAGCTCTTTATTAAGCAAATCTTTTTAAAAAGTTTGAATACAAAAATCGAAATGTATAGATATTTTCAAAGTGGTTTAATATATTGTCGGAGAATAATCAACTATTCGATAGTCTAATGCTGCATATAACATGAATAAAGCAACGACGATTCATTATCATATGACTAATAGAGGCAAAATAAAAGAGTATTCGAAAAAACTATATATTAAGCAAACATTTTTCCACCTCACATCTTATTAGTAAAACGAATAGAATTATAATAATATATTTTATAAAATATTTTTGATTTGACTTGATTTACAACTGATTATCTAGTTGAATATTATTTTTCCTTTTTGCTTTAACTATTTCACGCATTTCAATCTCAACTGAAATTTTCATCCCAACTGTCGAGCCTTGTGGTTCTAACTGTTACCCAGAACCAGAATCGCAGTTGCGGTTCCTAGGAATGAAAAATAAAATGGTCCTGGTTTCGGTTCTTAAAAATTCGTCAGGAAACAATATGATTGCAAATAAATATTCATTAGTTAATAATGTATACTAAAACACGTCGTTTTCTTTATTTTGAGAAATGTAAAAGTACAGCATAATAGGTATTCACATCGTCTACGTTGATCATAGAAAATTATTCTGTGTTGACTTCTATATAGTAAAATGAAAATTTCACACAATAAGTGGACGGAAAATTCACTTTGGCTGAAGTTATGATAATTTCCACAATATAAATTGTTTCTAGCCATCAGTAAAACAGTTAACGCTTTTCAATGGTTCCGGATAACAAAATCTTACAAAATTCCGGTTTCGGTTTGGTTCTCTATTCCCGTTTTTTGAGAACCGCAGAGCTCTATTCAAAATCATGAATGAAATTGTGTCTATATGTGTTATATACGGAATTTAGATACATCTCTATCCTTTTTATCCTATCCATTGTACAGAGTCGATAAAATCCAGTACCTTCAACGATGGATCCAAATGCATCAGGAACAGGATCCTCAATGAATCTTTCAACTAAAAATGAATTTTTAATTGGAGGAAAATATCGTTTAGTACGTAAAATTGGTTCAGGTTCATTTGGTGATATTTATTTCGGCATAAATATAACAAATGGCGAAGAAGTCGCTATTAAACTCGAGTCAGTTACAGCTCATCTTCCTCAATTATTGTTCGAATCAAAATTATATAAAATCTTACAAGGTGGTATTGGTATACCACATATTCAATATTATGCTCAAGAAAAAGATTATAATGTTCTTATTATGGATTTACTTGGACCATCGCTCGAAGATCTGTTCAATTTTTGTTCACAAAGATTCACTATGAAAACAGTGCTTATGCTTGCCGATCAAGTATATTCTATATAGACGAAGAAAAATAATATTTTTGTTTTGAATAAAATTGTTTTCATTTAGATGATTGGCCGTATTGAATTTGTACACAACAAGAATTTCATTCATCGAAAGTAAATTATTATCAAAAAACGATTTTATTTATTCTCTATTAGTATTTTTCTCTATCATTATTTAGTATTAAACCGGATGATTTTTTGATGGGCATTGGTCGCCATTGTAATAAAGTTTGTTGAAAAGAAATCAGATATTTTTATTACTGTTTGAGAATTTATTTTATTTAAGGTATTTTTGATTGATTTTGGATTAGCAAAAAAATATCGTGACAATCGGACTCGGCAACACATTCCCTATCGAGAAGATCGAAATCTAACTGGCGAACCTCGTTTTGCATCAATAAATACCCATTTTGGTATTGAGCAAAGGTTAGATTTCACTAAATAATTCAATGTTATTTCTTATTTTGTAAATCTATCATCTAGTCGTCGTGATGATATGGAATCATTAGGCTATGTTTTAATGTATTTTAATCGTGGTTCATTACCATGCCAACGCCTTGGAGCAGCAACTAAAAAGCAAAATTATGAAAAAGTATTAGAAAAAAAAATGTCAACGCCCGTTGAAATACTGTGCAAAGTACGAAAATAAGAAAAAAACATCTATATTTTTATTTTATTGTTTCTAATAGGGATTTCCAGCTGAATTCGCTATGTATCTAAACTATTGCCGTGGTCTTCGTTTTGAAGAAACACCTGATTATATGTATTTACGTCAATTATTTCGCATTTTGTTTCGTACATTAAATCATCAATATGATTATACATTTGATTGGGTAGTGCTCAAACAAATGGCAGCTAATGCAGCATCATTATCGACAACAGCAACTAATACAAGTGGTGAAACTACGGCTACAACTGTTAACACTGCGATGGTACCACAACAAATATCAACTGCACAAATGACTTCGACAAATACAGGGAATACTGTCAACAATGGAGCAACACCAGGTAAAGTAGGAGTAAAACCAAACGACGGAAACCATCAAAACATGAAATCAGCAACAGGATCATTTTTAGTTCACCCACCAATCACATCCAGACTCTAAACGTATGCAGTCAATGAACTGAAATGCAAGAAGTCAACTATTATAGCACCTAAAATCTGTCATATTAATGTCGGTCATCAACAGAGAGAGAGAGAGAAAGAGTTTCAGAAAGATAGTCATCCAGAGCAATGAGCAACCTGTTCGAGAAGAATTGATATGCATGGATATACTTGGTTAGAGCTATCGATGGTGCTAGAAGGAATTTTTATGATGCTAGCATGCGTTTTGTATAATATGGATGATCGTTTTTGTTTTGCAAATTTTCACTAGAAACGGGGCTGTGCTAAGAATTTTATACAGAAAAGGGTAATGTTTTTAAGCGTCACCAATATGTTACAACAAAACGCATTTGTACTCTTCTGTCAAAAACTTTTTTAAAATCAGAATGTAAAATAGAGAATATCATACATTAGCTGTCTACAAAAACTCTATTTTTCTAAAAATTATTGTAGAATAATCTGTTCAATAATAGATTCATCAAAAACCAGTCATTTTTATGATGCATGCCGAGAAAATAATATCAGCTTGGTTGACCATTATTTGAAAACCATGACAGTGGAAGAAGTTGATCGAATAGAACCAAATGGTTCCACGGCTTTTCATGTAGCTGCATATCGGGGATATGACAAGATCGTTGAACTACTAATACAGAAAGGTGCTAGTTGTTCAGTAAAAAATAGATACAATTCTACTCCGCTTGAGGAAGCTAAAACCGATAGAATAAGACAGCTGATACGACGTCGCTTGAATAAGAATCGTTTTGTTGGTGACTATGTCGAGTGGACGATTCCAACAAATGATACCGACTGCAAATCACATGAATATTTTAAAACATTGAAATCGTATGGCACTGATCCTAAGTTCCATAAGTTGATTGGCTATATAAAACGGCATTATCTTGAAACAGAATTGCGCGATGTAGATGGCATCAGCATAGTAAAAGAATATTTTGATAAAGCCATCAACGACAAAGATCCCACTTATTTGTTAACAGCCTACACAGCAAGAACAGGTTTCTGTTCTGCGCTCAATGCTCATCTAGCACAAATACAGCCTGAAAGCCTGACTGCTAAGGAGAATCTTAGTCGAGCATATTATATTGGAATATTGGCTGCCCATCCAAAATTCGACACGTTATCATATATCGGAAAAGTGTTTCGCAGTATGATAACTACTACTCACGATTTAGAAAAGTACAAGATTGGTACACGTATTTTAACGAGATCATTTTTGTCGGCATCAAAACAAAAGAGTATAGCATCAAACTTTTATATAAATCAAGACGACACAAGCAATCGATTAAGTGTTCTATGCGTATACAAAATACGAAATAAAAGGACTGCATTGGATATACAACAAGTATCATTATATCAATATGAAGAGGAAGTGTTAATTTTGCCATATTCAGCATTTAAAATAACCAAAATTCATCCAAATAAAAACAACTCATCTCAAGTTAAAATAAAACTGAAAGAATGTGAACCATGGTAGCATGGAGCTACGATTGGTGCCTTTAACTTTTCACGATTTTCATTTAACCATTTGCATTTCTTAATATAATAAACAATTCAGAAAGATATAAATTTGAACGAGTCTCTTTCAGTTCATGCATTTTCAACTGCACGGAATGAGTTTTACTAAAAGTAAAATGCAAACTAGATGCTGTAGTAAGTTGCACACAATCCAAAACTTCAATAAATTGTTTTCCTTGAGGTAGTGGGTGCCATGCTCTACTGGATAATACACACCGTAAAAAAAAGTACTGTTACGAAGCCAAACTGTTAATGAAAGTCGATTCTCTCATCACGTTATAGAAGAAGTGATATTCTCGTTCATCGAATTTATGGAAAACACTTAAAAGAGAAACACTATTCTAATTATCTATAGGCTATCTATAGGAAAAAAAACGTCTCTTATAGGCTGCTCTGTAATATAAACTATGGACTCATAGTCTTTATATCCATCAGTTACAGAAAATTTATAAAACAATATTGTCGAGCACATATATTACAAACAGACAACGTAGTGTATAAAAAAAAAACTTTGAAGATTTGGACAAAGTATGTAGAATCACTAATTAGTAATCAAACAAGCTAAGTGGGATTAATAGATACTAACAGAAGCTGCAGAACGGTTACAGTCTAGGGTAGACTCACATTTTTGGCAAAATAATTACTACCTATGTAAAAATACACAGTTCAAGTCGATTATGATCTAAAGATTTTAATTTCGTTTTCTTTGTGGCTAATCAAAAGTTGTAACGTGGTTTGCATCGGTTAGACTCTAGTTGCTATAAAGTTTTGATCGATTATAAACGTGATAACTGTGTGTATGATTGCACCCGCGGCCATAGAAACTAACCAAGTAGTTGAAAAGAGTCATCGAAAAATGCACCAGAAAAAATAGTCTAACAAGAAATAGAGCTATTCCGTAGTTAAAATATTTCCTATCTTGATTTTTTAAAATAAAATCGATACAGAAACCCCGATTTTGTTTATTCGGTATCACTATAGGAAAGCAGTAATCTTTTTTTCACGTATTTTAGCAATGTAGTGAAAATCTAGAAAACTAACGATGTTCCCGATTCAGTAGTCAGCTCTATTACACCCACTATCTGAATATTTTTTCTAACAAACTGCGATTAGACCCCAAACAGACCAAAAAAATAAAACAGAATTAAGCAACGTGATTGGTTAATTCACACTTAAGTCATCTTTTTGAGACGATTTAGTGGTTAATTCTGTTTTATCTTTCTGATCTGTTTGGGGCCTTAAACTCTAAAATTGACCTGACTTTTGTGACGGTGATAAAATTCAAAAATTATTTTAAATAGAAGTTTTCAAAAATAAATTCAGCTGTCTTACGCTAAGAAGCAAGAATTCGATTTCAACCTAATTAGATGCCAATGAAATTCAAAAAAGATATCATTACCATTGAACACAAGTTAGAAGTATAACTGAATATGAATGACAATCTAAGGATACGTCATTGGTCGGGAAAATATGAAAAGTAAACAATACTAGAAAATTTTATATTTTATCGAGCCTACCCAAGCCTAATAGCTCCGCCCACCACTGGATACTAATATGTTATATGTTTTCAAAAGAAAAAAGAATCATTTACAAAGGTAAAGTAGTGACATCTCTAATAAATCAAACGTTTTACAAATCCGATCAAAAGTTCTTATCATTTTGTTGAGTCCTCATATTCAATGTTTAGATAATCACGTGTATGCATTCTTATTCAGTGCAAATGTTTATTTGAAATATATCTATGCATTCATCTGTTCTTTTTGTATATATCATAATAAATTAGTAATCATTATCGTTATCATCTTCAAGAGTCATTGTTTTACTCTTGTGTTTGTTTCATTCATTCCTCGTGAGATGTGTTCGTATACTCGAAAATGATTCATCAACATCAATTCCTTAAAAAAGACACGCAACATGATAGTTATAAAATAGTTCGACTCTTTTTTTTCGTAAATTTTAGATGCCATTCTGGAGAAAAGATCCAGCTAAAAAAGAACTTTATACAAGTGTTACTGAAGGTTTAAAACAAGTCTATAAAACAAAATTATTACCACTTGAAGAAGCATATAGATTTCATGAATTTCATTCATCGCAACTTGAAGATAGTGACTTTTCAGCTAAGCCGATGGTGCTTCTTGTCGGACAATATTCAGTTGGTAAAACGACTTTCATTCGTTATTTATTAAATGTAACAGAAAAGAAGAGCTCTTCATTTTTTTTCTTCTAATCTTTTTTAAATGAATTTCAGGAAGATTTTCCTGGCATTCGTATTGGACCAGGTAAAACCAAGAATGAATATTTATTTCATAGTGAACAAAACTTTGATTTTTTGTAGAACCAACAACGGACTCGTTTATTGCCATAATGCATAATGAACGGCCTGGTGTTGTACCAGGCAATGCATTAGTTGTCGATCCGTCGAAACCATTTCGTCCATTATCAAAATTTGGCAATGCATTTCTAAATCGTTTTGTTTCTTCACAAATAAAAAATGAAATTCTCGAAACAATCACATTTGTTGACACACCTGGTATTCTAGCTGGAGAAAAGCAACGTGTTGATCGTGGTTATGAATTTAGTCAAGTTCTCGAATGGTTTGCTGATCGGTCCGATCGAATTTTACTTCTATTTGATGTAACATCATTGGATATCTCAGATGAATTAAAACGAGCTATTGAAGTTCTACGACGAAATGATGATAAAATACGTATTGTATTAAACAAAGCCGATTCAGTTGATCAACAATCATTAATGCGTGTTTATGGAGCTTTAATGTGGTCATTGGGCAAAGTACTTGGCACGCCGGAAGTTTGTCGTGTTTATGTTGGATCATTTTGGTCAAGACCTTTAACTTTCGATACGAATCGACGTCTATTCGAATTGGAAACGAAAGATTTATTTAATGATTTAGGTAATAAACTTCAGTGTGAACTCTTGCAATTCTATTTAAATTTTGCATTGCAGAATCTTTACCACGAACAGCAACTCTTCGAAAATTAAATGATTTAATTAAACGTGCACGATTAGCTCGAGTAATAAATTATTATTTTTAAATGAGAAGTATTATATATATATATATATATTAAATCATAGGTGCACGCTTTAATTATCAGTGAATTAAAAGACCAGATGCCAAGTGTATTTGGTAAAGATTCAAAACGTAAAGAATTAATCAATGTAATATTCCTTTGTCATTATAACTATTGATATATATATATATATGTAGAGTCGAAAAAACAAAAATATCTGTTTTTTAGAATTTGCATTTAGTTTATGAAAAAATTGAGCGTGAGCAAAATATTCCATTAGGTGATTTTCCAAAAATAGACCGTATGCAAGACATATTACGGAATATGGTTTGTTGTAAAAAAATCAAATTTCGATTGTTGATTTATTTAATTGTTTAGGATTTCACAAAATTTCGGCCATTGGATCGAAGATTAATTGAACGTATCGATAAAATGTTATCGGAAGATGTACCAAGATTAATGAGCATGATACCACAAGAAGAACATGCTTACTTACAATTAAATTCCCAATCCGAAAGTGGAAATGCGTCATCCGGAAATACCATATTTAATGATCAACAGGAAACACCATTTTCAATTGGTGGTATTGAAGGTATCAATGCTGGAATTGGCGAACATGAATGGATTGTTGAACGATCAAGACATGAATATGATCAAGTCTTTGTTCAACTTTCGCCACAAAATGGAAAAATTACGGGTGCATTCGCCAAACAAGAAATGATTAAATCTAAACTTGTAAAATTCGATAGATCTTAAAAATGAAAGCATTTTTTCGTTCTATTTTCTATGTTTTATAGCCAAATAATGTACTTGGTCGTATATGGAAATTAAGTGATATTGATAAAGACGGGATGCTTGATATTGACGAATGGGCATTGTCTCAACATCTTGGTAAGAATGAATGACAAAGTTTTATGTGTTAATCTTGTAAAATAATAGAAATTTCTATCAAGAATCCCTACTCAGACGTTCGGATGAGTAGTACTAATTCCATGTTAAAAATGAAAAGAAGAGTTAATTCTTGAATGTGACGATGCATGAATAGAAAATACTTTATCTCTTACATTTCCTTCTTTTCCTCGGCCGGGAAATAAGCCATAATACTTATGAAATATTCGATTCAATTTCCTTATGTAAACTGCTTAATCACTTTTGAAAAAATGATGAATATCTAATGTTTTCTTTTAGTTAAAATTAAATTGGAAGGCCATGAACTACCCAATGTATTACCCGATCATCTTATACCGCCAAGTAAACGTCATTTAATTAATAAGACAGATAACAGTGCAGGTTCAACGTATGGAAACAATGGACTTTATCCAAATGTTGCTAGCAATAACACAAGCGGTTATATTTGATTTAACAGAGAGCACATAAATCTATTCAATTTTAGTTTTTCAATGCATTTCTTTTGTTTTTCTTTTTAGTAATTCACTTTTTTAATATTTATTTCCATTAATAAAATGAAGATATATTCAAGTTACATAGATCGACAGATGTTTCGGTAAATACAAAAAAATACCGGATGATAACATTTATTCAGGCTATCTGTCAATGATCGTTTTTTCTTCAAATAAATTGCTAAATGTCATATTTGCAGTTAGTTCCATTAAAACGAGTGTGGATAAAGATAACCAGCTGTAGACATATGTGTCTTTCTCTTTACGATCTAAGCACGGAAGAAGGAAAAAGCAGAAGCAGTGATAAGAATTAAAACTCGTATAAAATTTGACAACAAACATGATAGAACGACAAAATGAATGTTCATACACTTGTTAGTGACAACGATCAGTTATTAACAAAAGTAGGCAGACTACTCTTTTTATCCAAACATATGACAACGCATAGATAGATTTCATTTGATCTCTTTTCACTTCTCACTTTTTTTTAAAACAAAGAAGAAGTTTTCTCGCTCTCTAGGCTTTTTCTTTTTAATAAGTTTATCTTATGCACTAGGGAAAAAAGTAGTTCTCTCTTCGTCACTGACATTATAATAGACTAGTCATCCATCGCTCTCTTGCTCTCTCTCTCTCTCTCTCTTGTTGTAAGTATTAAGTACGTGTCTTTCTCTTGTGTAGATATTATTCTCACACTTTCTTCTTTTCTTTTTTTTAAAATATATAGAAAAATGAGCGAAAGCAAAAAAGGTGAGAATAAAAGACTAACTATAGAATGAATGTCAAATTCATTCATTTAACAAAGACAAAATGAAGTAGTAAATGTAGTTCATTTGTATAAAAGACAAGTAAGTCTATTTATTTATATTATATTATAAGTTCAACACATCACTACAGGAGAGAGTTTGAAGATTTGATAATGCATCTTGTCAATGTAAGTATCCTTATGAATGAAGAAAAGGAAGAAAAAAGCAAAAAAAGCGTTCAGCATATAAAGATTAGACTCAGTATATAAGAAAGGAACGAGGAAGAAAGAAGAGTGAAACGCTGGGTTCCCGTCATCGTTCACTAGAGCAAAGGGAAAAAACGCCACACATACCACAAAAAAAAAAGAAAAAAGAAAGAAAAGAAAACGAAGACGAGTATATTTTATGATGAACTTTACGCAGTACGATTACTATGTTTTACAGTAGTTAGATGCAAACGAATACGAAGAAAAAGGTTTTTTTTCCGTCAACATTTAACACCTCTTATTTTCCTTCTTCATAGCTGAACACTTTTTCATTACAGGTAAGTGAACAAAATTTAATTAAATGAATGTAGAAGATGAACGCGATTCCGTCGTGACAATTCTAACGATTTCTTTTTTTTCTTCTTCATTAGATTGCTCTTCTGTCGGTTCAACCAGCATCAGTAATGGTTAATGACGAGTTAGTTTAAAAAGATGAAAATTTACATAAATTCTACTTTTTCTTTCTCTCGTTTTCCTTTCCACACACATACATATATTTCACTCTCGATAACAAGCTACTGTTGAGTCTCAATCAGCATCATTAACGTCTTTTACTCGTAAGGATAATGATAAGAGAATAAACTTACTTCTCTATACGATTTAAATGTTAGTCGTTGGTTTTATTTTAGTTTATACTCTAAATGACGTTCATTTGGAAGACCTTTGATTTAGTGTTCTGAATATATATTACTAACACTAGATTCAATGTCTTCTACCTATTACGTCTGATTATTCGACGATAAGAAAAGTTATCTTTTATTGATTGATAATTATTCTAATCTCATGGGTATGTTTTTATTTTCTTCTTTATAATAGAAAAATAATAGACTATGATATCAGATCAATGTTTCAAAAAGAAAAAGAAAAAGGAATGTTTGTTTATCTAACAAGGTTTGTGAATATATCGATATGTTATTTTTCAATGGTTATAAGTGAACGTCAAATACTATTGAATATCCCGTGAGAATAATCAACATCGATGATTTATTACACTTAATAAAAAAACAAAAAGAGAATGCTCAATGAGTCAATTATATAAATGGAAATCAAAGAGGCGACACATGCACATGCACGAAGCGCCCATGACATTTTTTTTTGTACAAAAAGATTTAATCGGCATCGTTTTATTCTCTTCGTTTAGACGACAAAAAAAGGACAGGAATAACTTTCGGTCTGTTCTGTCATTTTGATGTTATTGTTACCATAGAAGAAGTTTTTTTTCTTTTTGATCGATCACTTTTTTCCTCTTTTATTTCATGCATACGCGTGTCGTAGCAAAAATCATTCACATCTGTATATTTCATTTTTTTAAAAATGGGTGATGATCTGACAGGTAAAGAATAGAACATGAAATAAAATTTGGATCGTTATAGTTTTGTTGATTGAATAGAATATCCTTCGCGTCGATTACGTTTACAGGAATGCCAGTTTTGTGGACGTCAATTTAATGTAGAGTCGCTGGTAAGAATATGACAAATATTGTATCGGTCGGTATCCCTTAGTAGCAACAATGTTTTGAATTAATGAAATTCTGATAATTTAGAGCTTTTACTTTCTCTATATACATATATATTTATTAAATATAGAATAAACATCAAAGTATTTGTCGTAAAGTTTCAAAGAAAAAACGAAAAACATTCGATGCCGGTAAACAACGAGCTACTGGCTCGGATGTACCCTATAAAGCAACGAAAAAAACAGCACAGGTATAATGTTGCAGTTTTGCCTATGACGAATATATATATATATATATATATATTTATTTATTTATTTTACGTGTTAGGTTTATAGTGGCGAAACTCGAGCGCAAGATGAACGAGTAAGAATAGAGACGTGTTAGATAGTAGATTTCATATTAGAAACTCTAGTCTAAATATGGATCGAAGCCCAATTGGAGAGAAAAGCATAGGCAATTAATTCAATCTATTCGAGAGGCTCGCTCCGTGACTCTTGCCATGAAGCAAGGAGGACCATTACCTGCTTTTCGGCCAAGTGAAGTTCCATCAGGTTAATTAAAATTATTAATTTTCTCTTTCATTGTTATATTATTCATTAAGATTATGTTAATTGCCCGTATTGTCGTCGTAATTTTAATCGACATGCAGGTGAACGACATATTCCATTGTATGCATAATTTTCATCTTCATAAAAGAAGAAAAAAATAAATACTCAAGATTTGTTTTTGTAATTTATTTAGTTGCCAAGGGCAACATGAACGAAAAGTGCCGCAACCTTCACGCCCTAATCAACAACTTGAGAGGGTATAGATAATATAGAAGAAGGAAAAAACATGTTATTGAAAATTTCGTATCACAGGGACGAACTTTGCCAACGCAAAAACCATCTCAGGATCGCCCGCAACAGTCATATAGTACAAGTGCATATTCAGGTCCACATGATGCTTATAATAATGGTTATAAACATAGCAATTCGGCTCCCATGATTGCTCGCCGGAATCCGCCGGAGTAGGATCTCGAAAGAAAAGTTTTCTCTTTTTTTTGAATTTGATTTCATTGTTGAGATATCAAAAAGCACCTCCACCACCACCACCACCGGTTAAATCATCGGGTGGTGGTGGTTGGAGTTTACGCAAATTTTTCGGTTTCGAATCTAAGCCAGAAACGCCACCTCAATCGAATTACTACGCAACTGAAGTAAGCTTTTCTCAGGTAGTAAAACAAAAATTTGTTTTAGCATTTTCATGTACTTAGGATGATGATTATTATGAACCATCGAAGCGTCGTGGCCCTCAACAACCAATACTTATGCGTACGGGACGAACACAAGAAAATACAAGTTTAAATGTAAGCGCTCGTCAACGAAACGATGAAGGAAGTTCATATATCCGGCGAGCATCACCAGCAAGAGCGGCTCCTTCTTCCTATGGTGAACCAAGATATCAATATCGCAATAGTCAGCCTAATCCTAATAGACCAACAGCTGTTGGACGAGCACCACCACCGCCACCCACTTCAGTTCGATGTGGTGACTGTGGCAGTATGTTTAATAATGCCTCGGCAAGATATTGCCTTCATTGTGGTTCGAGACGCTAATATCGAACTTTTTTTTTATGAATAAGTTTTTAATTCGAAAATAATAATAATAATAATAATAATAAACAAAACTTCTGAAAAGAATTTTCTAATCTGATGAAAACGGTAGTTCCCCAAATAAATCTTCATCTACTGAAATCAATTTTTGTTCACTTTTCGATGATTCATTATCATTCATAGTATCTTGACGAATGTTAAATAGTTGTGATATTCTTTCATGTTCATCTTCATTGAGTTTTACTTGTTGAGTAATCTTTCGAAAAGCCATACAATACAAATTCGTTACTTTAATATTTGATACTAATCCGAAGCCAATCGACTCCAAAGCTTGTCGCCATAGTTTTTGTCGATTCTCACGTAGTGTTGAATCAGGTTCTACAATAACTAATAAACCAAGACATGTCAAAAGTTCATGAGCGATGAGACAAGCAGAAAGACGTTGATGACATGTTGGTAAATAATCGAGAACAAGTGAAAAAATAATAGCATCGAATGAATGTGCACATATCAAAGGTGGTTGTGGAACACGTAGAAAATCAATCCGATGCACCGACTAAATTAATCTGATAAATAAATTTTTTAACTAAAAAAATCATTAAGAACTACTTCATCCGCAGGCGCAATATCAATGGCTATCGTTTCAAGATCATCATAAATAGAAAATGCATTGTAACAACTCCTAAATAAGACAACAACAGAAACAACAAGCAAAAGAAGTCGGCTTAAAAATTAGAAAAGAATCTAGTCGTTACCCAACATCTAATACACGTGGCTTAGTTATTCTTTGCCTGAAAGAGAGAGAGTATTAGATCATATTAGATTAATATAGGATAGTCATACTGAATTCTTATTTGACAATCAGCACAAATATAATTTACGATCTGTTTTCGTTTATCTCGAGCACATTTTCTTTCGAGACCACTTATTTCATTTCCAAAAAAATAATCTTTTATTGTCGTGTAACACCATGTCAAACGTGTTTGACCATGCGCTTTTTCTGCCCAATGATGTTGAGCAAGTTGACGCATTGATTTAGCATATTCATTCAATTTATCTGTATTAGCTACATGCTGATTCCAAATCGATTCAGCAGCTTCGGGTGCTAATAATAAAACTAATAGTTCTTAAATCTTATTCACCAAATTCATACTTTGATTTACATCATTTCGTAATTGTTGATGTACTTTTTTTATTGACTCCGCAAGATTTAATTGTTCCGCAGACATAATTTTATCTAATAATAATAATAGAAAAAAATAGTTAACTCCTACTCTTTATTTAGTTAAAGAAAAAATTTAAAACAATATAATCATGGCAATGTGACGTCATACAATGAAGTATGTTGTACATCAAGAGTAGCTGTATCGAAATGTGTAACAGGTTCCCATGAATGAAAGGTAACCGTCATTTTGGGTTCAAGCATATTAAATCCATTAGGTAGAAAATAGCCGGTCACATTGGCTGGTACATCAAGCCAAACAAACAGAGCTGGCCGTTCAACAGTTAATGTGATAGCAAAATCTGTTGATGATAGTTGTTTAATACTTTCAATTTGAAGATTAGGATCGGATAGTTTATAGTTTTTTGGCCGACTTAAAAATAATGTTTGTCCTATTTGATTTTGTTGATAATTAAATGAACAATGAACGATACATTCTGAACTATCATTACAACGAACACGCTTCATTAGTAATGCATAAGGATAAGTAAATGCATTCTGTATCCCGGTTGTAGCAAACGAAACATCGCCCCCAAATGTTAACCGAGGTGTCAATGAATCTAATGAATAAATTGAACATATCAAGTCACCACGCATGCCATTCACGAGTTCATTGATAATATAAAATGAAATTTTAGCATTTTCATCTGTTACATTAGCTAAATAAGGCGTAAGAATAGCGATAGGATAAACAGGAGCATACATATGACGAACATAATTATGGCCCATTTTCCATTTCAATCCATATTCAATCGTTGCCCATGTTGGCGCTTGCCAAATATCGTTGATTTGCCAATACATTAAACCCATTGTATGACTAAAGTGTTTAGAAGATAAAAATTTTCTTGATAAAAAATAAAAACATTACCCTTTACTAGTCTTTGGATCAATCATATCTACTGATGAATGAACTCGACAATGATCACTGATACTTTTCAATGTCATAGCTTGATTGATTTGGCTGAGATAAATCATTTGCGTAAAATATAGCAATGAATCATTGGTTACTGGCAATGGTAAATTAGATTCAATATGATACCTAGACATCGAAAAACAAAAATATCAATCGAAAAATTTTCAAATTAATAAAAAAAACAAAATACATCATTGCAGTCAATTGATTTCCTGAATGTTCACGATGTAGAATAAATGAATTATTAAAAACTAAATCCGATGAATTCGATGTTGTTTCATACCATGTATCCAAACTTGGTAATGATTGAATTCCAGTTTCAGATAGAAAACGAGTTATGGGATAGGTTGTTGAATCCCATGAATCGTTCTGATATCCATAAAAATGAACATCACCTAAGACAAAAAAAAACAACTCTTCTCAAGAAAAACTCAATTTTATTTTTAAATTTTATACCATAAAGTGGATCTTGAGGATCTGCAGCAATATAATGTTCAGCTATTGATTCAAGTCCATTGGATGGCGATGAAGTAACAAACGGACGATTAGTTCCCTTATCAACTGTTTTGACAGCATTCATAATTGTATTAACATATAATTCTACATAATCTTCTTTTGTTTTATTCATTTTTTCTATCGGTACCTGGTACCAATTCTCAGCAACAGCAGCTTCATTTTCGTTATTACCCGACCAAAGTACAATCGATGGATGCGATTGAAGTCGTTTAACTTGATAGATAATTTCATCGTGAACATTGTTTAAAAATGGTTCATCAACAGGATAACTAAATTACAACAATAAGATCAAAATTTTACTTTGAATAAACTTACAGACTACATGCAAACATAAAATCATGCCAAAGCATAATACCTAAGCGATCGGTTATTTCATAAAATGAATTACGTTCATAAATGCCACCACCCCAAATACGTAACATATTCATGTTGGCTAATTGTGCCGAACGAAGTAAACGTTCGAGTTTATCGTTACTTACACGTTCTTGAAATGCATCTGATGGAATCCAATTACTGCCTTTGACAAATATAGGTTGAGAATTAATCGAAAAATAGAATGATGATCCATTAATTCCGGTGCCATATTCATGTTGAATAAGTTGTACAGTACGAAAACCGATTGAACGTGAATCAATGATTTTTCCTTGATTCGAAACAACTAAATTATATAATGGTTGAGAACCATATCCATTTGGCCACCAACGTTGAACAAGACTATCGGATATAGTCAATGAAATCGATAGATTATGATTAAATGCAATCGAAGTCTCATAAGACCATGTTGTATTTTCTAATATAAATTTTAAATCACTTGTGAATTGATCATTATTACTACTCAACATAACATCAACTTGCCAAGTTTGATTTGCTGCATTGAATGAAGCAAGATTCACACTTTCAAGTTGAACAATAATCTCAGTTGTATTAAAGGCTTCGAGATAGACATCACCTGGAATACCAATTGGAGCAAAAGCTGGGCCCTAGAAAGAAAAAAATAGTTGGATGATACAGAAAAGATCGTAGAAGAATATTTTATTATGCATAAGTAACACCCGAAAAAAAAACGATTCTTACCCAATCCCAACTAAATGAACATGGTTCTTTTCGAATAAATTGCACAAGACATTCACCGTGTTGAACGTCGGGCGTACAATTGGGCGGTACTGTATCATTGTATGCAATGGATTGTCTTTTTGCATAAAGAACAGGAGATTCAAAGTCAATATCAATTTGATTTTCAGTTTTTAAACATCCACTAGTAACATTAAATGTATAAGCTATAAACATGTTATGAGTGCTACCAATAGGGCATCCATTTATTGTTATATTAGAAACTGTATCAATTTGATCGAAATGTATTGTTATTTGATTCGAAGCAAGAATATCGGTTGTTAATGTAAAATTTTTTGTAAACGTCCAATCACCGGTGTTTACTAAATAACGTAAATCAACATCATTAGATCCCATGTATGGATCAGGAATTTGCTTTGCAGCAATAAGTATTGTATGAATGGAACCAGGTATATGACCTAGTGCTGTATGATTTATCTTATTAGTTATTGTCCAATCATCGCCAACTAATGGAATTCGCGTTGAAATCGATGGCGAAACAAATAGAACAAGTAACAGGCAAAATAATCGTTGAAACATGATTATTTTCTTGATGTCAATTAAAAAGCAAAAAAGCAAACTTGCACACCGCTATATATATATGTCTTATCACAGTAACAGATATCTGTTCTATTTAGATCTTGTGGTCTTGTCGTCGTCGTCTTTTTTTGTGTTGTTTGCCAATGTTAACTTTCTCTAGAAGAAATAGAATTGTTGATATAAAAGATAAGATGATATTAAACATCTTTTTACAGGTTCTTGAAATGAATGTATCTTTATCTTGGTCGCTTGTTTAATATATAGATTCTTTGAGGTGTAAGACAATGCAAAAGTATTTTGGCCAGGGTAATTTTCATTTCATTAATAGGCATTATGAATCAACCTTGAAAATTGGTGCATGTGCAGAATAAGCACATCCTAACAATGAAATCAATATCTATTGACTTATGAACACACCATCATTAATAGAGAGAGCTCTCTCTCTCTATTAATGATGGTGTGCTCAGAAGCCAATAGATATTGATTTCATTGTTAGGGTGTGCTTATTCTGCACATGTACTCTCTCAGTTTTTCTATTATTATTATAGGCACATTATGGTCATTTGATACATTTTTGTCTTGTAAATCAATACATTGAAATAAATACTCGTCGTGGTCGCCGGTGTTGTATTGATAAACATATTGGTTTACGAACGATACCATTGAGCGATTATTCGAAAGATGTCATTACAGGTCATGAAAGACAGTTTGTTTGATGAACGCACCATCACAACCTGCATGAAAATGGCTGAAATCAAGGTTATGAATGCTTTCGTTCTTTTCAAATATTATTAAAGATTACTTCAAGTGTGAAGACTGATAAATTCCATTTGAGATTTTCAAAATGACTGAAAGAGCACGATCATCAACACAAAATGTATCCTGTATGCGTTCACAATCATTTCGTGAAAGTCGAGATCGAGTTACTCGTAAGGAGCTTTCAACGAGTGATCATGTTCAATGTCAATAGATATCGTTTTGTTTGATTAGGAACAGCAAGTGAGCTGCATCGACAAACAGTTAATCGTGCTCAACGTCGTTTCGAACAGCAATTAGCTCAAAGTGAGCGTGAAGTTCATCGAGCGATGAGTCAACGACGTGATTATTCATCGTCGCCTGCCGAAAAAGTTCAAGCTACCCAATATCTTCAACATCTTCGAACAACACTTAACAGCGATTATGCACATCTTGTTCAAGTAGGTGAGCTCTTTTTTTCCTTTCTCGTTTTATTTTTCATTCGTTCTAATTGAATTATATCTAAAATAAAAAGATAAATACTAAATTTCATACAGGCTTATGTTCGTGAACATAAGGTAAGTTTTCTTTTTGTCGCTGGAACTCAATGCTTTAATAAAATTTTATTGTCTTCTTTGCTTTAAAATAAAATGCTATATCAGTGTTGCTCATGAATTAAATAAAGTAACTTCGACGTACATATATTCAACAAAAACAAAGAATTTTTCTTCTACTAAAAGAAGTGCAACAGTCGTTCTTGAATAATGTGTAAAGTAAACTGACGAAGTCATAGATTTGAAAATAAATAGATTAATAATTATTCTAGTGTTACTATGTTCGAGTCACCTTAGAGCATATATCAGAGCCAGACGTTTTTTCAATTACTTGGAGGCCGTTGTGCCTTCCTGTTTCAATGTCAGCAAGAAACCTTTCTATAACAGACAATAGCAGCATGATCCTGCTACAGTTGCAATTAAGATTCTCACATTATGATTTCATTAAGTAGATGTCTAGGTCATTTCTTTCATTCAATAGCTTCTTTTTTTGACATTATTTTTCTTTCGACTAAAATAATACTTGCCGATGGCTATTATCTACATGTTCGTCACCTTTTTGCATTCAAAAATAAATTTTCATTTTAAATAACTCCTTGAGAAACAAAAGGTGTAATGGAGATTAAATTCTGAAATCGCTTTTCGTATTGTCGAAGTTACATAATTTCATTGGCAACATAGCTTCGATATTTTAAGATTGAATAACAAAAAATCTCTAATGCATCTTTTTTTTCTTCGTTGACAAGGACAAGGTTGACGAGGTCGGAAGACAAGTGAACCAACGTCATTGTGAACAACGACAAATTGATAGGCCGATGGTTGATCGAAACGTTCAAGTGATTAAAACAAAGAAATTTTTTGTTTTTTAATTTTTTGTTTTCTATCTTGCACAGGAAGCTTTACAAAAAGCTCAAATTCAAAGTGAAAGAATGCGTATTGAATCAATCAATGAAGCAATACGTGAACGTGATGCAATTTGTGAAGAAAAATTGGCTGCTCAAAAAACGTTAGACAATTAGTCATTTTCATTATTTCTGTAATTAATTTATATTCATTTAGTCTTTACAGCCGTCTTCTTGAAGAACAAGCTCGACGTTTACACGCTGAACAAGCACTGCAAACAAATCTATCATCATCACCCCTTACTGAACACAATGATATGGCTGAAGTAAAAGGTCGATTAGCACGTGTAGAATATGAACATCGAGAATTAAAACAATTAATGCTTGACTTACGTTCAGATCTAACGAATTTAATTGTACAACAACCGACATATAAATCCACAGTTAATATACCGAATTTTATTGTTAAATCATAATTTTCGTGCGCGAAAAAAAGAAGCGATTGAACTTATAGAGAATAAATTTTCTTCTAGTGATATTAAAAGAAATCTATATTCAGAATTGAACCCGAATGATGCTTGCTTTTCCTAGTTGTGAAGAGTCTGTCGATTTACGCCACAAAAAAAATGTTGTTTTTGTCATAAACGAACACTGTTGTTTTTTTTTGGTGGAAAATAGAAGAATCAGATTTTAAAGAGTCAAAAAAAGCTTTTAACTATTTCAATACATCAAAAACAGTCAGCCCTGAAAAGGTTAATAGACATCCGGAGTTCATTTTTTCTTCTAATATTCTACTAGTGAACTGATTCGAGGAACTACATTTTCAGGTAAGTAAAAAACTCGACATCAAAAAATCCGAAGATTTTTTTATATAGGCCAAAAAGCCATTTAATATCTCACTGACTTGCGAGTAGATTTTATAAGTCTCTAAGCGTATATTGATTGAATAAGCTTATTAACAGCTTTGAGTATTTTTAGAATTTAAAATCGCTGACTACGTGTAATTATCATAAACGAGTAAAAGAACGAACAGTAGGTATATGCCTAATTGAAAAATCACACATGACTACAGTTATCGCATGAAAGGCAATTAATATGAGTCTTTTTCTTTTTTTGTTCTTTTATTAATGTACAAGTCAAGGATTGTTACGTTTTTATTCTGCATCAATGCATGATGTATTCTTTTTCTTCAGCATGCGCAGTAGAGCTCATCAAGCTGTGTATGTTACCATCGAAAAGAAAAAAATTGAGAAAGGGAGAGAGAGAGAAAATTACATTATGCAACATTCGATTTGAATAATACATAGTATGAAAAAATAGACATTGCACTTATTATTGAAATTATTTCTCTACCATTTATAATGGCAGCACGAACTGATATCGATACGATGAATGCATCGCACTTACAACATAAACTAACCAAACAATCAACACGACTGAAGGATTGTGCAACACCTATTCGTATTAATATTCGTCGCAGTGAAACAACGTTATCGCCCAATGATGAAAATGAATGCCGTCAAATGTATGAAAAACTACAACGGTTGCAACCAAACGGTGTTTGCGTAGATATTAATACGTTAAGGCGTGCACTTTATCCGCCTGTTTCACTTAAAAAAGACACCAACGAACCACTGTTAACATTTAAAACTTATCGTAAACGGTAATTTTATTTTATTTTATTTCAAATTCATGCTTTTAAAACCTCTTTTCATGTTCTTAGCGCTGATGAAATACCACGTCTGCCAACATACGTACAAACAAAAAAGACAAAATTAAATAAAATAGAACGTATAAGTCTGGACGGCATTGTTAATCAAGTCAAAAAACATGCAGCAATCAATTATAGTTATTATACACGAACTAAATAAATAGCCTATATTGTTGTTTTATTGTTTTTTCATTGCAACCTCGATGAGATTCAAAAATAAAATATAATTATATAAATAAGGCTCTTTTTTTACTTCATCGGGCTAATACTTTGTGCACCAGAAAAAGAAATGGATGCACAAAATTTTCATTCTCAGACAGATTAATGAATAACACAATGACCGAACTAAAAACAACTACTAAATTTTATTTAGGGCAACTTAAAAAAGAAACACCCACACACCCTTCAGTACATATTTGAGTTTTCACATGACTGACAAAAAAAGCCTTTTTTCGAATTCTATACAAAATGAGTACACAATGATTTATCTACTAGAGTTGTCATATACCTTTTTTTTAGATGCTGACGTCACGTAAATCATAGCCGCAGGCAATGTAAGCATTAAGGCCGCCTACGTGATGTTCTTACTAGATAAATGATGTTACGCTCTAAGCTGATATGGAGACATGCAAGATTTTTAGAATATAATAATAGAAACGAAGACAATATTTTAGCATTTTAATACTAAGGCAAATGCGTGTGAGATAATCATGCGATACATGCTGGGATGTCGAATCGATCTAGAATGAAGTAAGAAAAATTTCATTCGACATCATAAGAGTTTCTTCTGAATTCGATGCATGTGCTACACTCATCGTGTTTACTTTTCAAAAATCGAACAAATAAGTACGGTCGTGCAAGATTAATCATGTCATATGTCAAGCATTACTATTCAGAGACGGTGTCCCCCTTCATTCAAGAGTTAACTAAATAATGTTCCAATTGTGGATATATATTTATATAATAGGATTGTATTTGGTCACTAATAATCATATACTTTAATCTCTTATGAAATACTTTTCGATTCACAAGCCTATTTACCTGACAGATTCATAGATTCAATTTTCTGAAATAAACCAGTGGGTTTCAGAAAAAATCTCTGTGTGGAATGTCAACATTTTCTTCAAATTGTTTTTCATTCAAGTGTGAAAATGTGACTTCATACTGTCTTTTGTGAAACACGACCTGAAAGGAGAGTTGAAGTATGACCCATGCCCCCCCCCCTCCCACTGATTGTCACAGAGAAGCTCCACAGATCATCCGTGAGAGTGATAGATGTATTCCAGAAAAGGAGTTTCATCGTGTTTCACATTTTAATCTCATAAGGATTGCACTAACAGCTTTTTCTCTTCTGATTCTCTTTTTTTCCGTTGCATAAAAAGTTAGAGAACCAGGGTATATATATATATACTTATATTATTGACTACACTAGAGTTTTACAAACAAGCAACACGAATCTAGCGTCACATTATATCATGCGTCAATCCGCTGTGAATATCATTTTCATTGCTACTATTATTATTATTGTGTATGTTAAATTCAATGAGAGCAAGCCGCTTAGATTTAATGGCGTGAACTTAGATGAACTTGGCTACTATAATGATCAATCCGTATGTTAATTGACTTGTTGAAATAAAGCTATTTAAAAAACATTTTTTTTCTAGGATCTATCAAATGCTCCATTACTGGTTAAAGGAACTCTGGAGAACATACAGCGGTCTAAACGAAGTAAGATATCTTTTTCTTTTTGAATACAATTTATGCAAAACGGTTTTTGATATAGATTGTTTTCTTTATGCATTGAAATTACAAAATCGAGCTCCAAAATGGATGTGTTGGTAACAAATCGCATTATTTTAAAAAGTTCAAAAAGCATTGATTTTTTTGCTTTTTAAAAATAAACAAAATAATCTTTTTTTCTGTTTTTTTTGAAATACACGCCTAGAACGAAAATTTATCTTAAATAATACCTTTTCTTCAACAGAATTGTCAAATACGTTAAAAATTGAAGCCGGTATGTATCAGCTTTCTCGGCGATTTTTTTCATTTAGAAATTGAGGCAGTTCTGTATAGGCGCGCTAGATTTCCAGTTATTTATGACTCGCTATTACAAGATTACCTATTAATTTTACTAACAGTTATGACAGTGAAGAACATCCATTACGTAAATTAAAAACGATAGTATATAAAAAAATCGACAATTATTATTTTAAATTGATAAAAAAATACTCAACGCGGAATGATAAGCATACTTTTTAAATAGGATCTATAACTGTTATATTGTGTTCTAATTGCTTCTTAATAGAGCTGATATTATCTTGAATAGAAATTTGTGCAAGAAAACGATTCTATTTCTTGACATTGCGAACATAAATAATTCATTATTAATCACTTGAATGCTAAAAAAACTATAATAGCTAACAAGTCAAATTGAACTCTATTTTTTACATCAGCTCTAATTAGACAAGTGCAGTTTTCTTGTTCTAATTCTAAACGACAAGTTATGCCCGTAACATTAACCCCGTAAGAAAATATGACCCATTTTCTTTGGTTTTGATACATTGATCGATGCTGAGTTTGTTACTAACTCTTTGACATTTAAAAACAACAAATGAAATAAAAGTCATTGGCTAATTTGGTGACATATGCTTATTGAAGCCACATACAAGGTCGTCATTTGAAAACTGAAAACGTTTTTTCCATATGACTGGAATTACCAGACCAAGTCAAATGAACGCCTTGCTCCGATTTGAGGATTTACCTGGAATAATTTTTTAGTATCATATGTTAGCTGTATTTTTTCATTGTTATACTCTGTAAAAAAAATGTGTCATACTGAACCTTCTTTTAGGGTTCTAGATTTGGGTACCATTTTCAGAACCATTTAAGGTTCAAGCAAAATCTGGTTCGAGTTGGAACTTTTTTTCTGCTGCTGCAAAAAAGGGTTTTGTTCCAATAGAAACCAGTCCCTTCAACACACCGAATCAAGTTCTATTGATATGATCAAGGCCTTTT